CCAAAACATGCCTTACTATAGTAAATGCATTAATTTTTAAAGAAATTAATGCATTTCTTTACATTGTGCAAACTATGGGCTTTTAAGCAATTTAGAATATTTTTGTCTTACTAAATAAAATGTTAAATAAATGTTTATTTACTTTATAATATTCTTCAACCAAGTTTACACATAAGTCAAACATGATGCCTGTGGAGCCAATGTGGCCCACCTCTTTTTTTGTGGGTCTAACAGAGCCTTACATATATATGGCTGTCTTTTAAGAGTTTAGTCCAGGCGTGGGCAAACGTTTTGACTCGCAGGCCACAATTGTCCTAAAATTGAAGAGGGGGGGCCGGGTCAGGAGCAGATAGATGGAGCGTTCGTGTGAACGAAGATAAATGACGTTAAAAAGTCATGCATAAATGCAAAAATGCTTTTATCATTTTCTCCACCATCTACTGGGGAAACGTGGATATTGCAGGGAAAAGGCAGATGTACAATGATTATATAATTTGGAAAAGTTTGGCGGGCCGGATTAAAAAGATGAACGGGCCGCATCCGGCCCCTGGACCTTAGTTTGCCCATGGCTGGGTGCCTGCGGTCTATATTATTGTTTACTGGATTGGTTAAATGCACTAGTCAGGTTTGGCATGTACATAGCTAATTTCTCTAATTCTAATTAGCATAAAGTAATAATATTTACCATAAACTACATTTTCCATAATCATGTTAATATCATGACCATTACCTTTGACCTCCAGTTGTATAACATGACTGTAATCACTCCAGAAGACTGAAGTCGTGCCTCTTTTTCCTCGGCACGTGTATGATCCTGTAGACCTTGCCTGGACCGACTGCACCAGCAACGTGGTCCCTGTGTTGACCAGCTGACGCTTATTTTGGTAGAAGACGTATTCCCATCCAGCAGAGACAGGGACAAGGCAGCTGAAGGTGACAGACTCTCCAGGAAACATGAGCGTGTATGAAGGCTTCTGTTTCAGGGAGGCACTAGGTTTTCCATCTGAGGACACATCGACAAAACCAAAAAGATCTCGATACTTTTTTGGTCAATTGGAGAACAGGATTCATAGAGAAAATGAATCAAATTAGAACGTCATTGTTTTTAGTGACACAAACTGACTAGCAGTAGCTTTTGTGCTCCGTAGACTAAAATCATAGATTTTCTCTCAGAGTTTTGGTGTGAAAGAGTGGTGGTGTGGTATGTCTCACCGGGAGCTAAAACTCACCATAAACACTGATAGGGATTCCAGAGCTGAAGTTGCTGTTCACATTTCTGTCCAGTAGGTGTCCCTTGCACTCATACTTCCCTTTATGTCTAGTTGAAGCAGAGCTGATCTTGAGAGTTGATCCATCTTTGGCCAAAAACACAGTTTCATCAGTGTTGACCCGGAGTCCATCCCTGTACCACGTGTAAGTCCAGTTGGAGCCTGAGGTCATCTCACAGGTCAAAGCCACCATCTCAGAGGGAAACAAATCCAACCAGGAAGTCAAGTTCTTCACCCGGGGAGCAGGAGTTTCTGAAGGAATACAGACACATAAGGAATGATTTTATTCTTTTATCAATATGTAACATTTTAAAATTTAAGACATCAATATCCTAAACATCTACGAGGGCCTTCATCTGCTGTTTTTAGCTAGCTTTTGACTATTCTGTTACCTTCTTGGGGATCCTAGTTAATTGTTTTTTTCCTACCTTTTCTCATTGACTGTGAAAACCTACAACATAAAGTAATTATTAAACAAGTAACGGACAAATACTTTAAGTACTAAGGATAATAAATGTCAGGTTTGGTTTACCACTGAAGCCTGGCTGGAAGTTTTACTTCAGTAAATTCTTTCTTCCTTTCTGTGACTGAGCTGCCGTGCAGCTCACACTCCCTCGTGCCTCATGCTTTACCACAACATCCTTTTCCAGGAGTTAATGCAGCATTGACGGAAACAGAGAGCTTGAGAAAAATGCTGTTTCAACGCTACGAAGGAGGAAGAGTCAAGAAACTAACTTTCAATACTGACTGTCAGAAAGTTTTCATTAATATTCCTTTTTTTTAAATTTTTTTTGAATACTTTACTTTAAATTATCTGCCAGGTAATGTTTACTTTAAAATTCAAAATATATTTTAGGCATATTTTTCTGGGTTTGGCTCTAGCTATCTCCGTTGCTAGCTAATGTGTGCAATTTTTTTCCGCTAACTTTTTCCACTGTACTTCTGTTTTTTTTTTTTTAACATTGCTGCAATGTTATTCACCCGTGAGAAAAAAACAAACAAATAATCATTTGGTTGAAACCCACCGTGAACCACCAGGTTGATTTCAGAGCTGCGGCTTGTGACGGTGGATTGATTTCTGCGGGCTTCACATGAGAACCTTCCTCCATCAGACTGACCTAATAGTAGACTGATCGTACTGCCGGTGAGCGACGGCAGAGGCGCTCCATCTTTGTACCAGTGGTATTGCCAGCCCGAGGACACGAGCACTGAGCACGTGAAGGTCACTGTTTCTCCCACATACATAGGATTAAATGCAGGAGATTTACTCACCGTGGGTGTAGGAGTTGTTTCTGAAACAAACACAAAATTATTTATTTAAACTGATATATATATATATATATTCATATGTATTCATATATATACAGATATACATATATATGTATGTAGATATATGTATACACATATACAGACACATTTATACATACATACATATATACACATATACATACATATATACACAAATATATATATACGTATATGTATATATATATATAAAGCATATACACTAAACATCCTTTAGCTGCCTTAATATGACTAATTATTATTAATTTTTAAAGTATGATTAACAACGTGAAACACAACTGCAGCAAATAAAAATATCTGAGCCGGCTCTATTGCACGTCTATGTTTATTGTGGTTATTGTAATGATTGTGCTGAGTCGAGAGAGACGATAATAATACCCAAAGGACATAAATAAAAATCTTCACTGTGATCAGTTAAAGATGCTGTTGTAGATCTTCTTTCATAGGGAAAATAAAATGTCACTTTCTGCACTAATCTGTCTACTTTGTATTTGTCAGAAGCCAAAAAAGTTTGAGAACCACTTGAATGTGAATCTATTGTAGGGTTTTTTTTGGCTAACATTTAGCAACCGGTTACTAACTCAAACACACACAAATAAGATGCTTCAGGTGTCAGATGATGTTGAATATGCGGAAAGGTAGAATCTTACCATGAACTCTAAGGGTTTGAGTGTTGCTTAGCACAGAGCTAACGTTCCTGGACCGCAGCCGAGCGCTGCAGGAGAACACGCCCCCATCGTTTTCACTGACTGCACCGATGAGAAGAACGGCTGTACTTTCATCCTTAAACTTCAGATCATTTCTGTACCAAGAAAATGTCCAATCAGAGCCAGGGAGCTCACACTTTAGCTCTGCCGTCTCTCCTTTAAACACATCCAGCCATGAAGAGACACGTTTTAGCAACGGTTGGGGCGGGGCTGGTAAAAACAAACAAACAAAAAAAACCTTATTAGAGGTTTAGGAGTCACTTCTACTGCTGAATCAACACAAACATGATTTTTTTTTGCATCATTTTAGCAACATAGCAATTAGCATTGTCTATTCTATAGTTTTAACTTTTTAGTTTTAATGCTCAACAGTTAACCACGTGTGCATTACATTTACTATTTCTGTGTTGTGTTTGTAAATTTGTTATTTATTAAGCCTGTCTATTGCTAGCGACAATTAGTTCTTTTTCAGCTAACGTTTAAGCTACATTTTGTTACATTCTTTGCACTTCTCAACTATATTTCCACAAACATCAAGTTATATCTGTAGCTCCTATTTCTCATAATCTCTTAGCTAGGTTTTAGTTTTCTTTGTACATTTTAGCTAGATTAAATTAAATTAAAATACATTTTATAGCTGTTTGTTTGATTGGTAAAGTTACTGTGTGACATTTTGGATTATTTACTCGTTTTTCATTCTATAGTGTATGTAGTTTCCATCGCCATTAAAAACGACTAATGTGGATGGCTGTGAAATCTTCTCACCAGAAACGTTCAGAGAAACTGCTTGACTCTCATCGGATGTGAATGGTTTGGGTTGGTTTCTTGTGGCTGTGCATTTGTACTGACCGGCGTCAGAAGGATTAACAGAAACTACAGGATAAGTCTCTGAGTTCTTTCCCTGGATTATAGCCCCGTTGTGGAACCAAGAATAACTCCATCCGGGAGTGACAGGGTGGACGGAGCAGGTGAAGGTAACAGACTCTCCTGAGAACATGGCGTCATGGTTCGGACTCTTTTCCACGCTGAGTCGAGGTTGATTTTCTGATTAAGCACAACATTAACAAAAACATTATTTTATAACAATGTGTTTGCGGGTAATGGAATAATAAAAAAAATAAATAAAAAAAACTGACCAAAAACGTCAAGGTGCAGTGGGTCGCTGCTCTTGGAGAAAACACCACTAGTTTTCCGCCGACCCTGACAGAAGTAACTTCCTGTGTGAGTTTGTGCGGCTGCAGTGATGATCAGCACCGATCTGTTCTCAGAGTAAGACACACTGGAGTCTGAGTCCAGAGTCTGGTTGTTCCTGAACCAGGTGAAGGTCCAGTCAGAGTCATCAATGATTTGACAAAACATGGTCACGCTCTCAGACGGGAAGACTTTCAAATAGGAGGAGAGGAGTCGAAGAGAAGCTTCAGGGGGATCTGAAAATTCACATGTGGGAAATATTATTGATTGGCCAAGAAATTATTACCTCATGGTTAGAGATCATTGAGTTGTGCTCAGTTCAACCCCAAATTGGCTAAATAAATAAATTTAAAAATAAAAAAAATATCTGGCCCACGCTATCCACGGACGTCACAATCACTTGGTTTAATGTTGATATTTTCTGACTTGACTGAATGAATCCATTTGCTAAGATTAACGTCAGTGACACGAGCTGAGCACACGAGGCAGTAGTAGACGGAAACTCAAATGTGTCTTCCTTTAACTTTAAAACAAACGTTTCATTTTTAAGGAAACCGCAGTGAGTTAACCACACTTACAGAAAATCACTGAGTTGTCCATGTGTGTGTGTGTAAATATTTATATATTTCAGTTCAGTGGTAGAGTGAGTGTTGTCAAAAACAGTATTTTAAGCATTAAATAAATAAAAAATACATTTTAAAAAAATCTTACTATAAGCAGTTGTTGGTATACCAGTGGAAAATAGAGAGATTGGGGAGGAGGAGACTGTGGAGGAGGAGAAAAAAATTGATTAACATGCATTGGAAGCAACATCTAATATCGTATTTCTATATATACTGATGTGACTTAAGAATAATCTCACATTTTAGGTTAAAAAAAGCGGATAAATTCTTTTTGATCTGTTTATCATTTCACTTATAAACCTAAACAGGGTCAGATATTGATCTGTTTATCATTTCACTTATAAATCTAAACAGCAGCAGGGTCAGATATAAAAACATTTAAAAACAATATTATGTATAAAAATGTGATTTTTTAAAATTTGTATTCACATTTAAATGTAGAATATAACCTATTTCTTTATTATTTGTAAAATATTTTTTAATAAATCATAACACTTTCCTATAACTAATTCCTACTCTGTAGAATATATTATTTCCATACATTTAGCTATTACAGTCTAATCATGATTCTGGTTTTAGCCAATCATAACAAAGCAGATAAACATGAAGTAAAACCTAACATTTGACAAAGTTAAGTTTTTTTTCCTTGTTCTTTTTTTTTTTTTTACAAAGAAAACACAGAAACACACAAACCAAAGCCCTGCTCTGAAAAGCAACTGCAACTTCTTCAATTTCATTTAAAACAGCAGTCATTTTGAACATTTTAATCTTCAAGGTTCTGATTCATTACGTTGTTTCGCGAATAAAGTTGTTTTATTTTTAATGCAGATTATTTACAGTTTTTTTTTTTTTTTACACCATCAGCTCCTGTGTTATTATATTCCCGATAAAATGAGACACTAACAAAGATGACCAACAACTAGGAACCTTTTTTTATAAGAGTGGGTTATCAAGCAGCAGAAGTGGCCGAAAGTAGGAAGAGTGTATGTTTCCCCTCGGTTTTTGTTCAGTCTTTTTCTCTGCACTTCCTGCTCTGGTTTCAAACTAACAACAGAAACAGGTGTATTCAACTATTAAAATGACCCCATTCATTTGCACTTCGTTCAATTCTACATAAATGAATAAACGTTAGGCGTCTCACCGTTCTGCTCCTGTCCTGCAGCTTCAGCTAAAACACCTGTCAAATAAAAAGACAGAGGAAGAAAATATCCAATGGAACAGCTGTTGCTCAAAACTGAAAAAAAAAAAAAAAAAAAAAAAAAAATCACAAATAAGGTTTGCGTATCAATGTGAAAATGTACTTACACAAGAGCGCGATGACAGCAGCACCGTTCATTTTGACGAGAGCTGCAGCTTCCTCGTGGGCTCCGTCAGGCCTGCAGAAACATGGAGCACTTTCTGATGATGCAAATGCGGCTGTGAGAGTGTTAGAGGAAACAAAGTGGGGTGTGTGTGTCACACTTTACATTATAAAAACTCACCACAGCTGTGTGTGTCATCTGCTTCTCTCTGTTTCAGGAACAGGAAACTGACTGAATTGTTGTTCTCTAGTGTCTTTTTCTTGTGCACTGACTGCAGCAGCTGTATGTGGAAGAGAAACATTTTTAAAACATTATTTTCTGGGTCAGTGTTTTAAGTGAAGCGACAGTTTTTAATGGAAGATCATGCATCCACGGCGATTACTGACACCATCGTTTTATTAAGTCACAAGTCAGTCTCAAGTCTCTGCCCTCAATTCCTGAGTCAAGTCTCAAGTCAAGACTGACAAGTCTCAAGTCAAGTCCCAAGTGCTGCAGCATCAGTTTCGAGTCTTTTTAACTGTAGAATAATAATATATTTACACAGATCATGTATGCTTTTAAAATCTTATTGTTGTATATTATTTATATATTTATGTATTATAACGTGAGAGGTGGGGACGCGGGGGTAAGAGACATGAGAGAACGCTGGACAGAAGTGTGCGGCCACTGTAGTGCTTGAATGTGAAACAGGCGCCCAGTCACGCGGTGGCAGCAACTCATACAGTGGTCTGTACAGATAAGAAAAAAAAAAACATTATTGAGTTCTCAATAGCATTTCAATTCAGGGAGGTGGTGGGGAGGGGGCGTAAGGAGGGCGTTAAGAGTCTGAGGGGTTGTTGTAATCCTCATCAGGATGGTTTCGGTGTGTGGGTGATTGTAGGTTTCGTGTCTTTGTGTCATGTCCAGTTGCGGAACGGAAGTCTTCAACAAAGAAAATAATTTTCTAAAACAAAAAAACCCCAAAAGCTTAAAAAAAAAACAAAAGTTAAAAGAAGTGACAGTGAAAGTGACTTAAAAAGGACTCCAACTCAGACTAAGTGTGTGGGTGGTGTTGCAAATGTGGTTTTAGCTGTTGGGCGTCTTCGTGGTGAACGCAAAATAATCAGGCCAGTTGATACATTTGCACACAAACTCACTTGCAGTGGCTTTTTGACACCAAGCACTTTGTAGTCAAAACAGTAGATCAGTAACGCACAGAAGAGGCTGATCATCAAGGAGATCTGTGGCCCTTCAATGTTGTCGACTTCTTGGAAAGTTTCATCTGATACACTCAAGTATTGAGCTTTGTCTTTATGGTCAAATCCAGAGATCATGTTGACAGATATGCTGTCAAAAGCACTTTTTCCTCTTCCTCTTTCTTCACCCTTGCATCAACAGATACTCTACCTCAGGTGCAGTGACGTGCGGTGAAATCCATGGCTGGCGAAGCAGTAACTCCACATTCAGAGTCAGATTTACAATTTAAGAACCGAAAAGAGCATCTTATTTCACTATTAATCACCAGGATCACCTGGTAAGGCTTCATATCTATCAGCCTTCCTCTTTCAATGACTTACACCAACACAAACGTATACACAGGGGCATATTTGTCCTTCACAGAACGTTTCTTTATACAACGACAGAGCACCCTTCTTGTGTCTAAACAAATTAAAGTATAGAGATGAGCGCCGCACAAATTTAATTTTGACCTTAAGTAGAAATTCGGTTATTTTTCAAACTTTACATTCTGGTGCTTTAATGAAAGGTTGTTATATAAAAATTTAGTTATCAAATACTTAATTTTCTTCTACTCCCATCTTATTTTTAAAAAAACAAAAAACATTTTCAGCCTTACCTTTACTTATACCGGAAGTCCATGGTTGTATCTCTCGATTTTTCCCTCACCTTAGCATTGTGGACGCCAGTATCTCGTGTTAGTCCAGACGTTACCACACGATGAGAATAAAAGACAAGGAAAGCAGTAATCGCGGTTTCTTACATGACAGACACACAGCAAGTCATTTCGTTTGTACCGCTCCATTTGAAAAGAACGACTCTTCTGTCGCGTGGTTTGAAGCTAACCTTTTAGCTGCGGCGTTGGTCTTCGGTCACTAATCGTCGTCTGTTTGGACCGGAAGTCCAGTTCATGGGCAGAGCATAGGAAATGTTCTTCATCTACTATTGGCTCTAGCTCGGCGTCGACTTTCAGTCACATACGAACCCTTGAGGTGAGGCAGAGTACTGTTTACCTATCCCGCTGACTTTTCTCTGTACTTTATTGGCTGGAACAGAAACGGGCAGGCGTCACGTGACTCAGTTTGATTGGATCGCGCAGTCAGATGTCAAAATACTCGAATTCGGCGATTTTTACTTAATAAAATGCAAAAAAAACCCAAACAAACAAACAAACGTGTAGAGTCATACTGAAAATGCATCTTTAACACAGATCAGTGAAAAATATTAATATTTATTTTATTTGTTCGTTTCTTTTTTATCATGATGGCGGGTGAGACCACACGTCATGCGTCAGGTGTCACCAATCTTTCAGGAACCCAGAGCTACTTCAAGGACACGTAGTAATATGAAGATCTTTATGATAAGGTACATTATTAGAAATAATAACAAACTAACATTATATTTTTCATTATACATTTTATTTAGAATTGAATGAATATTAAATGGCATTCTTTATTTGTTCATGTCTGCATTGATTTGAACCAAAAATAATTGATTCAGTAGCAGTAATTTAGCAGCTTTACCATTTTCTTATTGTGAGAGAAATAAGTCACAAGCTATTTCCCATGTTGATTTTTAAATTAAAAGCCTGATGTGACATATTTCCTGCTGCAATCATTGCTCTTCTGTTTTTATATTAAATTGTAGCAGCAACAACAACAAATCTTTTACCACAGAAAACAAGGCTTCCAAATGAAGCTGGATCTGCCTCGCTGCCCAACTAGGCGCACAGACATTTTGGAAGTGATGTCATTACTACGCAAATTGACAGTCACATGACAGCATCAGGATGTTACAGTGAGTAGGTGTTTTTCACATTGTTTATGGGTAAAAAAAAAAAGAAAGCTGTTAAAGTAACATAATTCATTTAAAGGGCCGGTGACACCAGGGTGACGGTGGGCTAACAGTGATGTCACCCTCTGTGATGATGTCAACGGTTAAAAATGTCCAGGCTCTGAAAATACGACTTTAATGTTTGTTCTTTATTAAAGCAGTCATACAGTTACTGTAACAGGGATCAGAGGTTTGTTTTTTTACACACACACACACTCACACACACACTGCTTGCTCTGTCTGTCTCCATTATTTACACACTGATTCTTGTTCTTCCCCTGTCTTGTCCTCAAATTCTGTAAAAAAAAAAAAAAAGTAATTTAATTTAACTTAATTACAATTAGAACATAAAAACTGATACAGCAATAGTTTAACAAATGCTGTGGATAATTCTTGTTGATAAATCACTGATGTTGGATTAAACCAGCCTTTCAGTCCAGGACCTGTGCTAGCAGCAGAGGGCACTCTAGACAAAGTTAGTGCTGTCCAAAGTCCAAAGTCAGAAATGTTTTCACGCCCTCCCCCCAGACCCACACCCCTGCAAATTGAAACACTATCGAGAACCTAATAACAGGTATATTTTTTATCTGTACGAACCACGGTATGAGTTGCTGCCACCTAGTGACTGGAGGCTTGTTATCATTCAAACATTACAGCAGTGGTACACTTATGTCCAGCGTGCCATATTCTATTGGAAGACCCTCACCGCACCCCTCCATGGGTTCCAGCCCCACTGTTTGAGAATTACTGATCTAGTCCAATTGAGACACTAAAGAAGAGAAAGATGTGTGTGTGTGTGTGTGTGTGTGTAGCAGTGATCCTATCTCTCTATTGACTCAGTGTAATGTGAAGTCTTTTGGCGGAGCGTCATATCATCTGGTCACATTTTTAGAAGCTGTGGTTTGTCACGCTGACATCATCCTCCTCGTCACCTCCCCGACCCCCTCATACTTCTCTGTTTCCCCTGAAGGGGTCCTGTCCTTACTATGAAGGGCCCCCTCCTACGTGTGGCCCCTAGCCTTGTAAAGACTGTAAACAGCATGTTCTCGCTCTCCCTTTGGGAGAAGTGATCGCAGCCGTAAATACAGGTGTGAATGTGACGCACACACACACACACACTGACGACCCTGACATGTGATCACTGAGACTCCGTGGGGGTTGAGGCGAGGTCATGTGACCCCCATTCACAGTACAGTGTGAAAACACAGGTCCCTTGGTCAGATTTATGAAGAAGTCAAGAGTTCAACATAAACAAACAAAAAACACTGTCTAACCTGTGGTTTATTTTCCCTTCTCAGCATCCGGAAGAATCACTTCTGCAAAAACAAAAACATATTGCTATATCATCAAAAATAAAATTCAAACATCAATTCAAAAGTGAACCTATTTCTAAGTAAACGTCGTCAAAGATGCCTACGCAGTGTCCTACCAAACCAGCAATTAGAGTTAAAAGTGAAACAAACAGCTGAAATTGGCACCCACGTTTGACCTCCAGTTTGCAGGACACCACTGCTTCCCCCTGGTCATTCTTGGCTCTGCAGGTGTACACGCCGCCATCAAAACTGCTAGGTTTGCGGATCTCTAGAGAACAGATGCCCTGCTTGGAGATCTGTCGGAACTTTGGGTCATCACCGATGACCATCTGGTTCTTCAGCCACTCAATCTTTGGCTGCGGAGAGAATGGGCGAAAGAAAGAATGTCAGAATCCCAAACGTCCTAACTTCTGGTGCTTTGTCCTGCTGCTGCCTTTGACCTGCAGGTGGCACTGATGTAAAAAAGATCAATTGTAGATTTCCATTCATAATCTATTGCTCTTGCAAAGTTAGTACACACTTACGCATGGGGAGCACATGCAATCTCTATACAGCATTTGCCACCTTGTGCGCAACAAGTTAAGACCAAGTTTTCTAATGATTATAAATTAAATATATCTATAATTTTTTTTTTTCAATTTTTGTTTAGAGCAGTTTAAGGTGACCTTTTAGCCTTTATGGTGTTATACTTTTATACTATTGCTGTCTATTATTATTGGGCCAGTAAAGGCAGTAGATCGTAGGGCTGTTTCTGCCCTGAGAGCAGAGACTGGGGGCACTAACCCTAAATCTATCTGCTGATGTCAGATCCTCGCAGACACACCCAGAGCATGAGCTCATGGTCCAGCTTCATGTTTACACTGATTAAATTTCACCTCAGCTGATAATTTCGAGCTACAACACCTGCACTTCGGCTCACGGGATTTTTTTTTCCAAAAATGTTTGTTCTATTTGAAGCAGTCGCAGACTACTTGTAATGAAGCCTGAATATTTGGAGTATGTAGGTCACAATGGTGTTCGCAGATGTCGGACTCTACTGACACATTCACACAGCTTAGTGGCATATTATTATTATTATTATTATTGTCCTATAGTATTATTACTAGTGTAGTATCATACAGTTTATATTGCCATTATAGCTACACTATTGCTGCTCTGATATAATTAAAAAATATAATAACTATTATTATTATTATTATTATTAATGATAAATAATGATTTTGATAGATTTAAAATGTCGTTGGAATGCTTAACATTATTGTTGTTTATAAATTAATAGTGTATTGCATTATGATTACATCATACCCCATATATGTATAAAATTGTATTACAGTTATAATATAATATTATTACTATAATACTGCCATTGTGGTGATCATAATTATTCTATTGCTGCTATATTATTTTATAATATCTTATATTACATTACATTATATTATATGTTATTATTTTACATTATATACCTTTTGTTAATGTTAGTTCAATGTTTCTAGTGTTGAAAAGTTCAGGGTCCTGGACCTTCGATGTCACTGTCAAATGTTAGATGTTACATATTTATCTTATCTTCCCTAAGCTCTGATTTCATTCTATTTTTATTCAAATTCTTGCACTAATTCTCGAGCTTATCGCCATACTCATCTCACTGCTGGTGTACAGTACATGTCCACATGGACGTCTTGAATGTTGAACTAAGGTGTTTCAGGACTTCAGTATTTTAATTCTCTGTTTCCCTCAGTGACAGGGCAGCAGTAGACCAGCATCAGACCAAACACACACTATAGAGCGAACAGTTCAGAGAGTTTTTATATGAAAAAACCTAAAGTGGAACACTATTTGTGTCTTGCACATACAGTATGATAGTCTGTCCCTTAGTTTTAATGTTTGATTATAGCACAGTGCATATGTTTAACCATTCGAACTGTGACTATAAACATCACTTGGAAACCAAAGCGCTCCTTCACACAGATGAGGTTTACATCCGTGACTTAAATTAAACTGAAAAGAGCTGATCAGGTTGCTGTCAGCTAGACAAACACTGTAAAGGGAAACCCAACACCGCCTGTCACATCCTCTCGATCTTCATTACCACCTGCCGACAGACCATGCTGAGGATGATGGGAATGCTCTCAGACTCTGTTCTGGACCTGGTCCAGTGTAAGACAGCGTCCAGCAGAAGCCCAGAGTCTGCCGCTGCTGCTGGAAGCCAACATCTCAAACATTCAGGCAGCTACAGCTGAAAGACGAGGCTTAAGAACTATGTTAGCATTGAGCCCAGTTAAGAACCCAGTTAGGAAGCCTCGCTTTCCTAACTAGTTCCACCTGACTGTAAACCCTCCTCTTTGGATAAAAGCGCCTGCTGAGTGCATACAGGTAAATGTAAGAATGTTATAAATTAATATTACATTCCATAAATGTATGCTATAATTTCAGTGATGTGTTAAGAATCGATTCCCTGCATCATTAACTTTGTAAAGCACTCACTCACCAACACAAACGTCCCAAGAAAAAAAAAAAGTTGTGATGTTACTTTGCAATCGAGTTGCTGGTCTACTGCTGTCCCCGGTGGTCAGTCCTGTATGTATCTCCTGCTACTGGACTGGCAGATAATAAAAGTTAGCATCTTCTGCTAGTCGTCTTTTACAGTGAATGAACTACTAATTCTACTACTTTACACTAAATAAATAATTATCACAGTGAAGTTCTCACGGAGAACAGGGCACACAGATGTTACAGTCTATACCTGTTTTTCAACCTTAGGGTCGCGACCCCACATGGGGTCACCTGGAATTGAAATGGGGATATAGAAAATATCACTGATAAAAATAAAATAAAATAAAATAAATATTATAAAGACAAGCTCACCTAACAGCACGTTAGCAGGGGAAATAAAATGTCACTCTGGCTACTCTGTATAACGCTACAACCCAATAAACATTAGGAATAAGAATGAACAATTGTCACGTAAAAATATAAAATAAATATTTGCACAAATAACTTGTATATTAGTACTAATGTTTGGCACAAAAAAAACCCAACTAAAAAAAAGCAGTTACCATACGAGTTAAATTGGCCCTTCAAATTTCACCCACTAACAGCAATAAATAACTAGAACCATCTCCTGGTTTAACATTTGTTGACACGGTCATTGTTAAAACAAGTACTGACCTAATTACCAACTGGTCTATTACCCATGAGCCCCTCTGGGTTTAGTGAGGATGCATTAGCTTCTGCTTGCTGTGTCAGGAGGACACTGTTGTTGTCCTCTCTGTGCTGTCCTTCCACGCTCTTGAAGGACAGTCGACGGTGTGTAATGTACATGTATTCCCAGTGTAGTGGCGCGGTTGGACAGTTCAGCTAAGCTTACTGAATGAAGCGGACAAGTGTAAAGATAAGTTTAACCGGGAGTGAAGTGTCCGGTGTTTCACATGGTCACACCAGCTGCTGCCCTCGCTGAGTGTTTTTACAGCAGTGACATTCATACCTTTTTAAAGACGGTGCTTCACACACACAAATGATTTAGTAAAGGACTTCAGTCAGACAGCTCTCAATTCAGAATAACAGCTGTCCACTGGAGGGAGATATACGGAATTAGGCCCAGAAATAAAAATAGAAATGACACCCAAGTTACGGGATGTGATATAAAAAGCACTTTCACATTTTACATTCAAACAAACGGTATGCTGTGTCCCCGTGAGTTATAATAATTCAATGTATCTATGGATTTCAGTACTCGCGTACATACATCCATCCATCCATCCATCCATCCATCCCTTCACTCTGACCTTGGGAGATCCTCGGACAGAACACAGCAGTTTTGTTGTGTAGCCCACAGTGGCGGCGCGGTTGGTCAGGGATGTGGTGAACTTTGGCGCCTCGCTGAAGTCATGATCCACATACTCAGGAGGTTTGCACTGGACATCTGTAAAAAGGGTGAGTCAATAATTAGAACAGGGACAGTGGATTCATTTTTTAATGGTTCCATTATGGCTCCCCAGCGTAAATCAGACTCTTCTGATGTTTTTATCTCCTAGATTGTGATGTTAGCATTGTGTTAGCGTAGGTCATATGTGTCAAACTCAAGGCCCGGGGGCCAGATACGGCCTGCCAAGCCATTTGGGCTTAAAAAACATTGCAGCAGAGTTTCTTAACCTATGAAATTAAACGTTTTTTCAATCAATGAAATAATAATCAATTGCAGAAACATGTATTAGTCTGTAATGGAGTAGTTACAGTTACCTGACCTTTTTTGTTCCAAGGACTGGTCAGCCAGTACCACCTGTTACTACAGACCAGTACCAAGGAGCTGAGCATCGAAGGATCATTACATTTTCAAAATAATTTTATATTTGAAAATCTTTTAGACTCTATTCTCTTTGTGTCAGAGTCTGAATGACCTATTATTTTAAAATTAGATTATCTTTTGCTAGAATATCTTTAAATAAAGAAAGTAAATATATTTGACTGGACTTTCTTTGAATAAAATAAATTGGTAAAAATTAAGTACATTTTTTTCATTGTGTCCCACTGTGGTCCGGTACCAAATGACCTATGGACTGGTACTGGTTTGTGGACCCGAGGTTGGGGCCCCCTGATCTATACAGTCTTCCAGTTACAACCGGCCCTTCAAGGAAGGAAGGAAGGATAATGAACTCCTTGTCATTGTGACACAGCTCACCACTGCACACAACATATTGCGACCTCTGATTTTAACCCATCACCAAAGTGAACAGTGGGCAGATTTAAGCACCCATGGAGCAGTGTGTGGGGATGGTGTCATGCTCAGGGCACCTCAGTGGTAACTTGGCAGCTGGTGGACTCGAACCTGAAACCTTCTGGACCCAAGTCTGCTTCCTTAACCACCGAGGATTAATCTCTGGTGGACCTCATAAAATGACGGTGACACATATGTGTCTTAGAGAAGGTGTAAGGTCATATTAACAGGAGGAGATCATATGTGTGGAGACACTTTAACAGGAGGGTGATGGGTTGAAAAACACAGTCTGACCTCAGATCAGTTAATGTGACCGTTACCCAGACTCTTGTCTCAAAGCATTAGAGTCCCTTTTTCATACAACCACCGTTCCAATAAGTGCCTTCTAATCAAAGCTCGGTGTTCTCAGGTAGAGCAGGTCACCTGTCTTCTGGATGGTGGCCAGCTTTTTGGTGACAGCAGCAGACTCGCTCTTCCCTACTTTGTTCTCAGAAAAGACCCGGAAATTGTAGGAGTTTCCCATGATGAGGTCTGTGATGGTAACGGTGAGTCTGTGGTAGTGCTCCAAAACAGTGAACCATTCCTGCAGAGGAAAAATGAAAGTCAGACCTTCATCATCTGAGCCCACGCTTAACCACGTGACTGGACTCCTTCATGTCTCACCCCGGTTTTTTTGTCTGCCTTCTGGACTGTGTATCCGGTAATTTCGGTGTTACCGTTGTCCTTTGGTGGAGTCCATTCCAGTGCAGCATTAAAACCCCAGCAGTCCACCAGCTTGATACTGGTAGGAGGACCAGGAAGCTCTGAGGACAAAACCAAAATTGTCAAATTGGACATATCTCTTCAAACCCTGTCAATTAGGTTCTGTGTAGGTTCTATTTATTTCAGTTCTCTAATTGTCCCATCAAGGAAATTTCACTTTGTGACCAGCAGGGGGTGGGGGCAAGTTTATTTCATTGTGCTTGCCTGGACTCAAACCAACAATCCTCCGATTCCAAGCACAATCCTTTAACATTGACGGTTTCGACTCACCTACAATCTGCAGCGTCAGTGTCACCTTGTCCTCCAAGCTGTCCACTTTGACAGACATCTCGTAGACACCGGAGTCCTCCCTCTGAGCGCTGCGGATGAACAGAATACTGTCCCTGTTGCTGTTCCTGATGTTAACGCGCTTCATATCCACAGGCTGACCGTCCTTCAGCCACGACACCACAGGTTTTGGTTTTCCCTGAGGAGACCAGCAGGGGTCAGACATCTCCACTGCTGCTGCTAGAAACATCAGTCTGAAATCACTGTTGTGATGTGATGACTTACGTGGAAGGGAATGACCAAGTTGACCGGCTCTCCGACCTGTTTAACGCAGCGGGAACTGAGGGCACGAGGCATGCGGATTTTAGGATGATCTAAAAAAAAAAAAAAAAAAAAAGTCACATCAAGGCTCGCGGTACACACACCTGAAAACACCTTTGTGTTAAATAGATGAAAAATAGCGTTACAGAACAAGAAGTACCAAGGGCTGCTTACAGTACAAAAAACTACAGGAGCGTTTTGGCCTATTGGGGTAAAACTATAAATACTGGTGTAGATTTTATCAGATGGAACTTTTTTCCGGTGTCTGTAATGGTACGACGGTACGGCGTACTGCTGCCACACTGAGAAAGAAAATAGGGGTTTTGAGTTTTTACGTGGAATGGTTAACATTAGTGGCGCTCTCCTGGGGAAGTTCGAATCCCGGTTAGGACGGTTGGTACCTTCCAGTGGACTCACCACCCACAGGAAGGTTCAGGGAGGTTGGTATGGTGCAGTGTGATTTGGGTGGCGTATAAGCGGATGAAAATGGATGGATGGATGGTTCACGTTATTACGATAAACTTTCCACGTAAATATGTGAAAAAGATAAAAACGTGAAAAGTTCCAGTGACATGCCATGGCTCAATAAAAACGTGAAAAGTTCCAGTGACATCCCATGGCTCAAGTACGGATACTGATAAAAATTTCATCCAATGAGCCCAAACATCGTAAAATCCCACTATGTCTCAAGCCAAGCATGAAGTATAATTCAACTGAGTCGTGTAAACGAACCATAATCTTACATTTCATTCATTCATTCAGCCTCAGTGGCTTAAAGCAACTTTACTTCGCAAAAATGTTGCAATTCAGTTGATTTTCTGCCCCTTGGTTTCGTGTCATCTGTCTTCTCTAAGTGTCTTTCGCAGGACAAGTACATTGCCATCATTATCTGTTCACTTTCGCCGTCACCCTGGGTAACAAGAGCGGTACAGCTCAGCAGAACCTGACCCTTATCGCTGCGTTCCCTCTATGAAACATGATTGTCTTGACGAGGCACCCAGCTCTACACAGAGGTCCGGGACGTGCTGAACTTCTCTGTGTGTAAACTGCACCTATCACAGTCATCAATCAATGTTGTTTTACCAGAGGAGACCAGTGATTGTCAACACCTCACGTGAATGTCAGGCAGCCGGTGATGAACGCTAAAATGTTTAAGTCTTATTATCAGAATATCAGAGGTTCGCGGCCTCAAAGGTACATTTCATTTCACCATTCTTTTCATGGTTACACACAGATAAGTGACCCTCACTAATTTCACAACTTAGTGAAACAGTAGCACTGCATTACACCCTACTGGTCAGGGAATTTCAATACTAGCTACAAATCACATGCCTGCCGCTCGTGAAGTTTACACACGGCAGTTTTCCAATCACAAGTCAAATCCTGGATCCCATCTGTTACCAGATAGCGTTAGGGAATTTACGTGTTCGCCAAAGTCAAATATTTCCCACATAGATTGGAAGAACAAGGTGAACTCAAGATAACCTGGACTATTTTATCACTCGAGCTGATTCATCCTTGTGACTGTGTGTGGTCAAAACTGGTATCTGGGCAGACAGAAGCTAAAGGGGAAGAGCAGCTCCTCCAGCACTTCCTAAAATAACCGTGGTGACGAGAAGCAGCCGCGCTCCAGCTCGTCAGGACGAACCAGACGATGTCATCACTTTCATCGACATTACATGGTGTACTAAAAGCGAAGTGCCGTTTCTGAGAACTGCCGACGCTGCTGGAGACGCCCGCCCAGAGTTACATGTGAATAAAATAAAATCATACGTGATAATTGGTGCCGGGCGTCTTTAATTTCAGGGGTTCACCGTCACCATCATCATCAGCACCATGGTGTTGGATGCTTTGGTCCAGGTGCTAAGTATAAGCACCAGCATCTCTTCCATGTTTCTGCCTAAGCAGCAAATCTTAGCAGGCTTAAAGGACACATAAAACCGGAGAGCTGCTGACCTCCACCTCGCTCTCCTCCCCCTGCTGTCCTTCTCTGTCCACACTTGTCCTCTATTACCCAGATCCTGTATGCCACCGGTTCCCAGTCTTTTCCGGCTAGTGACCCCATTTTGATATCACAAATTTCTGGCGACCCCAGAGACAGTTTATTTTTCTAGAATTGATTTTTTTTTTATCATCCTTGATCCGATGTGCATTAAATGTATAAAAATATTTTTTATCAAAATATGTCATTTACTTTTACTAGACACTTCAGGTAACCCCATTCGAATTGCAGGTGACTCCACATGGGGTCGCGACCCAGAGGTTGTTAGCGACGTTGCTATATGCCTGCGATGAGATTGCACTGCACTGTTCTTAACTCATTTTAAAAAATAGTTTAAAATGTATTTTTCAGCCAAAATTACAAAAAAACAACAATCGCCAAAACCAAAAAAAGTCCAGTGTTTTTGATGTTGTCATAAGAAACAGTGTGATTTCATAACGTCAACCTCTGCGACTGTAACATAATGCTATAAATGGTCGAGCCACACATTCAGCAGCAGTTCGCCATTTACAGATTTATTTTTTTAATGCATTTATTGTAAATGGTCGAGCCACACATTCAGCAGCCATTTACAGATTGATTTTTTTTAATGCATTTATCACAGTTATTTTTTAGAAAGTGACGTTTGTATTTGTTCGTTATGTAATAAACCTTTTAAAACTTTTTTATCTTGTCATCGTTAATTTGACTTTAGTTCATTATGTCATGTGTTTTTGTTTACGTAGCGACCTTTTCTCATATCGGCAGGAAATGTGCTCAAACTGATATTAATAAAATGAAAGTTAAAAACATCAACGCTCTGTGTGTGAGAGAAACCTCCTTATTAGAAAACACAAAGCTAATTTTAAGCTCAAGGTTTGTTTCACACACACCCTGTCACACAAACATCCCTCTCACACACACACACTCAGACAGAGCAGTGGAAGAAATGATTTATGACTGACGACAGAGTTCGTCAACAGCTCAGGAATTTATGAAGCTCCATTTGCAGCTGCAGGTTATTATCACCCCAGATTCTGACACTGCAATATGGGGAATTAAAAGATCGGATCAAAGCTGAGGGAGGAGGAGGAAGAAGCTGATAAAGATTCTCCACTCGTTTTAGTTCTACCAAATAGTAGTCAAGAATTTTGGTGCAAAACAAATGCAGTAGCTTTAGTGGTGATCATTAATTCTTAAAAAAAGTACAGGTAGAAAAATCATCTTGAAAATAAAAGAAATTTAAGGAATGAGTCCTAAGGGAGCTTAAAATAAAAAAACAAAACCTTAGCGATAACTTAAGGGAATTAATTCGAATAAAACCTGAAAATTCATTGGACTAATTTTCAGGTTTTATCCAAATTAATTCCCTTAATTGTTAGCAAAGAAAACAACACAAAGGTAACTTAAATAGAACCTAAACAAAAGTTAAATCAATCAAAAATAAACAAAAGCTAGAAGTTGCTAACTCGGGTTAGCATCAGCTAAACTCTAACCAGGATATATCTGCAAGTTAGCCCGAAAAAAAAAACATTACTCAAAGTTTTCTTTAAAGGCACTAAACTGAACAACAAGTTCTAAAGTCTTGAAATATGTATAAAAATAAGCCCCCAAAAATATGACGCAAAATATTTGCAGAATTGTATATAAGATGAGAAAGAATCTCACCCTAACACAAGGCATTCTGGGATTCATGGCTGTGACTCACCGGCAACCGCTCTGATGGTCACAGGTTGAGGGAGGACTCCAGGTACACCACGACCACTAGAGTTGACAGCGATCACGCGGGCGTGGAGCAGGTCACCAGTGGTCAGGTTCTTGATGGAGAAGCGGTTTGATATGGTCACATCGTGGTTGGCGACAACCCAGTCTGACGCTGCAGGAGAAAGACGGTTGTTTTACAGTAAATGGTATTGGATGACACACCAAACTCTGATATGATTTATACATAAGACAGGAATAAATCAGTCAAATTAAAAATACCTTTAAAAACATCGACCATGTCATAAAAAGATCAACTCCACCTCTGATTAAAATGCAGCCCTAAACCATCCCAGGATCTCCCAGACAGCTGTATTTGTTTGCCTACTAATGATGACATACAGACACTGACTCCAGTCAAACTGGTCAGTGGATCAGGCTGCTGGCTGGCTGTCAGGTTGCAGATGTTAAAAACATTTGCTTTTCTTTCTCTTCAACTTCAAGCTCATAATTCATTCGAGCCGAGATCGGAGAAGTGAGCTTTCAGTCAAGGCTGTTAAGTGGCCTATCACCCGTTTACAAACAACCTACACAAGAGACGGAAGATGAAACCTCAGGAGACACGATATCGTCATGGGTGCAAAGGCTAAAAACAGAGATTCACTGGCAGCAGCTGGAATTCTGCAGATCCGTATACGGACTGGACTAGGACACCGTGACGCTCTGAGGACAGGTGCAACACACACACTGACAAGCACACACTCACTTCCATCTTTACGGTACTCCACGATGAATCCTCTCAGACCAGAGTTTCCGATATTTTCCGGGGTATCCCATTTGACGCTCACACTGGTGTCAGTGACGTCGTCCACTGAGACGTCCACAGGAGCAGAGGGAGCACCTACAGGACGGAAAACAAGAAAAATAAACAAAGATCAAAATAACACTCAAGTAATACAGTTCATGGTTGTTGTGTTTTTTTTTTCATTTTCTCCAGTGATTTTTGTCCCAGCAAGCACAGACACTTAGACAAAAACTAGGTGTTATATTTTCAAAGACCACGAACAAAATCCTACACAAGTGACTTGACCTGAGACTTGAACTTGAACTCTGAGACGGGGATGCCTACACAAACCTTAACAACTGTATTGTTAAGGTTGTCACTGCACTATACTGCAGTAGTCATATTTCTTGACTTTAGTTAAAAAAAAAAGTATTTTGTCAACAGATGATTAGATGTTCTCATTATTTGTTACTGTCAAATACAACGCAGTATTACACGGAGAATAAAAAAAACGAATTACAAGATTAAGATCAATAAAAGGGTTATTGTATGAAAATAAAATCCTAATATTAGCATAAACGTGTCATACAATGCATCGTGTTGTGTCTGAGTGTCTAAAAAGAAACCTTGTTTAAACCACTGATCATCAAATATCTAATAAATGCTGATTATCTATATGTAAATACCACGGGTCAACACTAGTTAACAATTTATTCTCACTAATTAACAATTTTTACTCATAAATTATGGCTTTTTTTCATAGAATTATGACTTTAACTCACAATTCTATTTCATTTTATTTTCAATGTGGCCTTAATACGGCATCGCACTTGATAGTAACAAATAATGAGATCCGTCCAATTCCAGTGGAGACAAGAAAATATAAAAATTATCATATATACACATCACAACTTTTAGATTTTATTCTCGGAACTCCAATCCCTTAATTTTATTTATTTATTACTTCTCAATTTGGCCCTTATACTGCGTCGTAAAAAAGGCAGCTAAATAATAACACTGAGCTACCTGCAGGAGGCAGTGTTGGGACTTTAGGTAGTTCGTCAGCTACTGCAGCATCTGCAGAAGCAGCGAGTGTTAAAGAAGCAACATCCAGCAGCAGCTAAGACACACAATAAATATCAACTCAAAGAAATATGTATTTCAGATGAATGACATGGATACATTCTATCCATCCATCCATTTTCATCTGTTTATCCATTACCAGGTCACAGGGGCAGCAGTCACCACCCAAATCACACTGCGCTGTACCAACCCCCCTGAACCTTCCTGTGGGTGGTGAGTCCACTGGAAGGTACCAACCACCCTAACTGGGATTCAATCTTGTCCAGGAGGTGAACCCTGGGGTTCCACACCAATGACAGAGACATGGCCTCTGGGCCAAAGCACCACTGGATACATTCTACTCTTCTATGAGGTAGAGTCCACTGTCATGGGTGTTTGCCACATTGCTACTATTAGATAGAGCAGTTCACTTTGAGCTGGAGTGTCTGCAGCCGGAGCAGTGTCAGGGGTTGATGTTAACTCACCCTCAGAGAAGACGGTGAGTGGCTGTGACAAACGCTGCTGAGAGCTAAAGTACAGCAATATGACAAAAGATGCATCCCAAGAAACCAAAAAGTCTAAAAGAGTTTGTCAGTATTATTTAGAATTATTTGTATGTAAAGACTAGCATGTGTGGTACTAAGAGGACTAAACTAGATCTATGTATCTATCCATCCATCCATTAATCAATCCATCCATCCATCTATCAATATTAGTAGTAAAGAAGCAAATAGTGCCAGTAACAAGTTTTTATGTTTATCCATTTAAGATGTTGTTAGCAAAATAAGTAGTAACACAGCTGAGATACTATACCGGCAGCAGGCACGTCCTCAACAGGAGCAGCAGGAGGAGCTTTTTCTTCTGCAACAGGAGGAGCAGGTTGTTCTGCAGGAGCAGCAGGAGCAGCAGGAGCTTCAGCCGGTGCCTCAGCTGGAGCAGGAGCCTCAGCAGGAGGAGCAGGAGCCTCAGCAGGAGGAGCAGGAGCCTCAGCAGGAGGAGCAGGAGCTGCTTCAGGCTCGGGCTCTTTTTCAGGAGCCTTTTCTGGGGCCTTCTTGGCCGGGGATTTCTTGATAGGAGCAGGCTTTGCAGACATTATGCCGACACTCAGGGTCTAAGACAGAGACACAACTAGACAGATGGACACTTAGTCCACTGAATGAAGGAGCCAGGAAAATATACACATGCTCACACTTTGTAACTCCGCCCCCTTCCCATCCCACCCCCCAGCCTGTGTGATGATTCCGTCTCCTTTACTCATTTCCAAATGCAACTGCCTTTATCATCGCTTCAAAGTCCGACTGTCAACTGTAATCCTTAAATAAAAATCAGCTTAGCAAACACCCTACATTACATAGCAGTGTAATAAATAGTCAGACATGATGGATTTTACAAATCAAATAGGATAATAATAAGATTAAACAATAATGTAGCAACAATAAAAAGTACCTGTGACTTGTAAGAAATATTTTCTTTTTTTCGGTTTTCTTTTGTTTCCATTTATGGTATCGCTGTCCTGGTGTGCTTGCGTAGCTGTAAGAATGAGACCCTCGTCCAACAGATGGCAGTGTTGCATAGGTAGCTGCTTCTGCCTGCTCATGTTGCTATAATTAAATGCTAACGACATTGATAACGCCAAACATGGAACTTTAAATGCATTCGAATACCATAGAACGGGCGAAAAACATAACGAAATATTAGGAAATTCTTCTGCATGATTTTTTTTACCCTTATTAGCAGTCAAACGGTGGTCATTACAACTCAGTTAAATCCAACGAGACATTACTGTTGCATCAGTTTCGCGGGTATCGACTTTCAAATGAAGTCGGGTATAAACCCATTTTAAATAAATCGTTACACTATACAATATAAAATAGTCTTGAGAAAATGCTTCTACTGTTATTGTTGGTACAAAGTAAGACTCTACAACATTTACTTTACTTACTTCATAATCCTAACAGTAAAGAAGCATCTTTGTATGTTCACACTTGAACCGGAAGTTCCGCCTGAATTTCAGCTTACCACCTTTTACCACAAACTTTAGTTTTTTAAAAATTAAATATATTTATTTTAAATAATACAAGTAATCATCACTCCTAAACGTTTGTTTGATTTTGGACAAAGATAATTAATTTTAATCTAATATAAAACCGTTTACATTTACAAATATTAATGTTTAATTGTTTTTAAATACAATTATTTAAAAAAAAGATTTATTTTGTTTGTTGCTCGTTGATGTTTTCAGAAGCATCTTGTGGCTAAACAAAGCAAAAGCTCAAATTTAGTTTAGTTAAGTTATTTTCAGTCAGAGTTAAGTTTTATTTTGTACAGATGTGTGACGTGATTTATGAACATGTGGTTAAAACCGCAGCGCTGCCCTCTACAGGAGGAAGGCAGAACTGTAGTCTTCATCTTATGATTGCTGTCGCAGACGCCATGGTTGTTATTATTTACAACAGTATACAACAGTGTGCTCATGTACAAAAGAGGAAATAAACTTTTACAAATATTCCCATAAGAAAAACAACAATAGAAAGAAAAGAAACAACAATAAAAAAAATCCCTTCCTCTGTTTTAGTACCAAAAGGGAGTCAAACAGGAAACATTCAGTGATAATTCATGAAATATGAAATGCTTAAATTGCTCATTACTAGGACGTGTTGTTGCACATTGTCCGTTTATACTGTGAGTTCTTTGTGAGTTGAAATGCTAACCTCTCAGATTTTTTTTTTTTTTTTGGTACTACGTTCTTTTCAGCTTCTGTTAAGGTTAAAATGTTTTAAGACAGTTAAATAAGACACTCATAATGTCAAAATGTGCCTGGACTCAACATATGTTTAGACAACAGCTTCGCTGAGATTTATCCTTATATCTTTGTTTGTCAAGTGTTGAGCTGTGTTACATTTAACTTAATCCGTTTTAGTACTGAAGCTTTGCAGCTGGATTTGGCCTCCAAAAGACCCCCCACTTTCACCCCCAAAAAAACATTTTAGAAAAGAGAAATAATTTTCCCCACTTGTAGACAAGGCAAAGAGCCAGTCTATTAGTCTGTGCCAGAGAGAATCCCCCAGAATCGATGGAAACAGGATTTGTATAGGTTCAGACTAGGGTGTCCAGGTGCCTTACTTTCTGCTAGACTGAATAGTATATGAGTATTTTTGGTTGTTCCAGAAATAAGGAAGAAATAAGAAACTTTTTTTTTACTAAGCCCTGTTTTTTGTGCCTTAAATACTTAAATTTTATTCACATCCATATGTCAGCTGGCAGGAGTTTATAAATCTCCTGCCAAGTTGGCTTGAGTCACAATAAATTAATACCAGTAGACAAAGCAGGAATTTGCCATTAAAAACAAAATCTATATTTAAATATTTTATGAGTCATGAAAGCTATTTGAGTATGTTTACTAGGTTTCCCATTTTACATTTCTATATCATAAATTCTTCTTGTTGCACAGGAATACTGTTTTTTTAAAAGTCGACCCGGTCCGGAGACCCGTCGACCAAGTTTCGAATTTTTTCTGCTGATACGATTTTGTATGTGTAAACAATAAACAGGAATTATTGCATAATTTCTTTTAACAAGGGAGGAAGAGTTAACGTTGGATCCCATAACCTTGTGACGTTACTGTGTTACAGCGACATCAGGAGGTCACTGCAGAAAGTTTCAGGCACAGGAGAAACTAGGCCACAAAGTTAAGCTTTTCTTGTGAAGGAAGAGAGTAACAAGCTTTTTTCTTCTGGAAACAAATATAGTCTGTGCAAAACGAGAGGAAGAGATTTATCTGTTTTTTTCAGCTTAAGAACTCTTTAGGAAATGTATAAAAAAACAAGTAATTAAATCATATTTTAATGCATTTAGAGAAACAACAGATAGGGTCAGAATGTCTGTCTGCGCTGATGACGACTCTTGTAGTCTTTGTTGTATGACGTAATGATTTTGATGATGCTGTTACCGCAGATTCCTTAGTAAAAAAATCCTATAAAATCATCATATTTAAAATCATAACAAGAGACATCAGATCCAAAGGTACAGAAGAGAAAAGTGCTCATTGTTTTGTTAAACCCTAAAAACCAGCAGCTTTCTTTTTGAATTACGTTGAGCGTCGGGTCACTCAACCTTAAATTATTTACGTAAATAAGAAATTCTGCTCAATGTCTCCACTTTTCCACTGCACAGTACCAGGAAGTTTTGGATCAGAAACTAAATATCTCGGCCTTACTTACCTTAGTTTTTGTAAGTCAATTTAGTCATTGAAAGTTACCTAAAGTCATCTGTTCTATTTTATAGAGCCTGGTGCGTTGTGTACATTGTTTCAAATACTGTCTCGGATCCTGGAGCATCCTCGGGAAAAAAGACCCTCATATACACTGTGACATATACTGTGGTACTATGTCAAGTTTTTAGTAATAGTTCCTTGGTGTGTTGCTACCATCTGGTGGAAGTATTACTGAACTAGAAGTGGCTTTTATTAAAGTCCAAAGACCACATTTAAAAAATAAAGTGCTTTTTTTTTTTCTTCAGATCATTTATATTTTTTGGTGAAAATTGACCTTAACTGAAAGCCAGTTAGAAAAAAACTAAGAATCCAAAACAATAAAAAGTGGTTCTGATCAGTCAGATTGTAACGTCATTGTTTCCATCGTGTCATTCTGTTTTCATGCACTTTTTAAATGTTTTAGTTTGATCTGATTACACATTGTGTAAAGACTAGAAAATACACCTATATCTTCACCCACACCTTTGTCACAGCTTCTTTGTTCTTTGTAATTGTCCATAAACTTTCTTTGATTCTGTAGACCGTCGTCGTACAGCCATACTGAGGCTGCAGTCTCTTTGTTAGCTACAGTAATGTTAACCACAGAGTCATTATGTGTAGAAAAATTAGCAGCACTGCTGTTAGCTACAGTCTCCTCCACTGGCATCTTCAGAGCGTTGTCTGCAGACTTGGATCAACACCTTCCTGCTCTGGAGACTCGATATAGTTTGCAGACTCCTGGAGCTTCAGCAACATCGCCATCTGGAGAACAAATACAGGATTACATTAGCTTCAGCTCAAGTTGGGTAAAGTTTAGAGATTGGATGGATGGATGGATGGCTGGATGGATGGATGGATGGCTGGATGGATGGATGGCTGGATGGATAGACAGATAGATAGATAGATAGACAGATAGACAGACAGACAGACAGATAGATAGATAGATAGATAGACGGACAGACAGATAGATAGATAGATAGACGGACAGACAGATAGATAGATAGATAGATAGATAGATAGAAAATAATAATAAATTCTAAATCTCACCAGTGGATCTGAGTCCAGAGAACTGGCTGGAGGCGTGTCTTTGGCCAGTTTCTTCTCCTCACTGCATGAGGCAGTAATGCTGGGTGGAGGCAGGTGGAAAAGTCTGGACTGGTCTTGCTGGGCATTTGGCCATGGCAGAGTTCCTCTGACCCATTCAACAGGATCTTCCCATACTGCCCTTTGCCCATGGACCTTAGGAAACATGCAGGAAAAGCAACGTTAAAAAAAAAAAGAACAGAGAATGAACCAGAAAATGAGGAGAATACTAGGAAGTCGGTGTTTACTTTCATGCCATCTTTGGCGCCCTCCTGCAGGTAGGGGATGATAGAGTTGTTCCATAGATCAATGAACCAATGTCTGAACTCTTTCATTGTCACTGGACATGATAAGAAGAAGCAGGGACCTGTGAAAGGAAACATTTCAGTAAGTCTTCACTGTGTGGGACAAGAAGAAACCAAAATTTTTTTTACTTTACATCCAAGATATTTTGTCAATGCCACTATGAAAATGGTAGGTATTCTCTCTACAGTAATGGTTTCTTTTGTTAAACAAACAGCAACTAGGGTCGACCCACATCTCAAAACTGGGGTGGGGTACGAACCAAGGTGAAGCTGTCCAAATTATATTACTATATTGTGTTATAATCGCACACCAGCCATTTGCCATTTGCAATGCCAGTGTTTCTCCAATAGATGGCGCACTCCAGTGTTGAGGTGTACTACTCTCTATGTCACTTGTTTGCTTTGTTTGAACTCCCCTTTAGTAAAATAAGCAGGTAAAAGAAATGAAAAGCAGCAAGTGAGCGACGAGTGTTTAATAACGATGGACAACAAAATATTTTTTCGCTAAAATCCGATCAACGGTTGTATGTCTGATATGCCAACAAAGTGTTGCAATTTTCAAAGAAATCACTTGAGTCAATTCACTACGAGGAGCAGTAAAGGCTAACAGCATTTATGTCTGGCTTTTATCTTAGTTCACACCAACACTCTATCACACATCTATCTGTCCCTGGCCCGGAGCCCCCATGTCAAATTTTAAAACCCATTGTGACCCGCGACACCTGATCTAGACCAATCACAATTTGGCACCTCTTTGTGAACTCTGTTTCCTTCCTGTTTTTTGATTAGGACCTGGTCACCCTAATTTAAATTTGTTAAAGAAGTCCTCATCTGATCAGAATAACCCCCCCCCCCCCCCTTCTCCCCGTCTGCTCTAACTCACCTATGAGGAAGTCTGACGTGCTGTGTTTTTCCAGAAAGGTGTGAAGGTGGTACCAGAGCTGAGGAACCCAGTCCAGCACACACAGGAGAGCCTGTAGGTGTGAGGAGTCCTGCCCCCTGTCCTGGTGAGCCTCAACAGCTTTACGGTGCAGGTACCTCAGCAGAAAGCCGTTGGCTGGTTCTACGTTGTTGGAAAACGTGACCATTCTGGAAGCAGAAGGAGAAGACATTATGGAAACATGGTTGTACACATCAGTAATCTAATAATCACCAGCCTCAGGTTTGTGTTTGTATATTTTTATATTAAGTTCTCACCTGAAGCTCATGTGCAGCCCATTATTGGACGTCATCTTCACTGGCTGATTCGTTGTGCCGATGATGTAAGGACTGAAACATAAATATATTAAATTGTAGCGTTGTAGACAAATCAAATCTTAGTTTAAATGCAAGTACCGTATTTTCCGGACTTTTTTCCTCCTTTGGATTTACGACCTATACTCAGGTGCGACTTGTATATTAAAATATATAATTTCACGTTTGTTATTTTCACACTGACAGCCACTAGAGGGCACTTGTGCGACTTATACTCCGGCACGACTATTACATGTTTTTTTTTTCTTCTTCATTATGTACTTTTGGGCTGGTGCGACTAATACTCTGGAGCAACCTTTAGTCCGGAAAATACGTTACACCAGGGACCAGACAGAGACGTAGTATTTACCCATGATTCAAGTCATAATATTATTTAAGCTTTTGGTGAATGGTGTCGAAAAACAATATTTGCTGTTTGCGGTTATTCACCTTTTGTGGTACTTGCAGGTCAGCGCTGCGTTCACCATCTCAGTGACGCCCGCCGGGTCATTGATGTCATCGACTATAACAACCAATGGCAGCTCTCCTCCATTGTCTTGGTCTATGTGATTAGCTACATTGGTCAGATACAGCTGCAGCTCCTGTAATTAAATTAATCAAATTTAATATATATAATATACACATCATTTCTTCTTTTGGTGTCACAAGAAATATATATATATATATACATTGATATTATTTATATGTAAATCCAAATAGTTTGACCTTCTGAGTCTGGTGGTGCATGTTAAAGGTGACAGCAGCGCTACGACCATGGAAACCTGCTTCCTGCTCCGACTCCGAGCTGCTGCGCTGCAGGAGATACAGGGCCAGGCGCTGAGCCAGGAAAGACTTTCCTGTTCCACTGGACCCTGACAGAACCAAACGGCGGTGCTTCAGGAGCAGACTTATGTAGTGCTGCATCATGGGTTTAGGAACAAGAGTCTCAAACACCAGGGAGTCCACACAGTTCTCTTTCAGGCCTACAGAGACAGAGAGAGCAGGAAAATAAATGATTTTTTGGTTTGGTTCATGATTTTTCTTCTTTACCGCAGTGCGGCTGAAACAAAAGCTCAGTTCAACTGCACATTATCAGTTTGAGTATGAGATGGTAGCAAACCAAATCTCCATTGGACTAAATGAAGAGTTGGTGAGAATCAATCCTGGTTAGATAAAGTCTGTGTCTGAGACTTATTTTCTCACCTTTCAGAGTGACATATATTGAAGCTGAGCTACCGCCTAGACATCTTAGAGGCTGGAGCTGCGGCTTGTCTTCTCCTCCAATCAGCTGTCGGCCACCATGAGTCAGCTGGTACGAGAGCACTGACTCGCTTGACAGACCCAGACTGGCTGTGGGGTCCACTTGGGTCAGGTAGTCCTGTCCAGAGAGGGACACAGAACCATTACACTCAGTCATCAGATGAGTATATCACAAACACAGCCACAGGGAAGAAAGGAGAAGAATGGAACTAACTTTGAAGGTCTTTAGGATAAGAGAGTCCAGACTGGCCCAATCTGTCTTGGTGTTGACCAGAACTGTGCCCAGACAGAACTCTTGCTGACCTTTGGTGACCTGCATGAAGGAAATGATTGTAAAAACGGTGTTATTCAGACAGGAAGCGCTCTCTCCGTTCACTCGAAAGTCTCTTTTTGGTTGAGTTCTTTACCTCGGCACGCTCACTGTGGACTAGAACTCGAGCACATACATCCTCCTGTGATGAAGAGACACTCTGTATGTCCACGTGACATGGATCTTTAAGAGAAGTAAAGGAAGAAAAGTGAATTTATTGAGGAAAATCATTAGGTGGAGTTGTTCTGATGTTATCAGTTTTAAAAGCTGATACTAGTACAAATATTTTCATTTGTGTACTTGCGGAAACCGAGTGCCATTCCGAAGTGTATGGTAATTAACTATTAGCACCAGTGTGTCCATTGTTTTATGTAACGTACTGTATTTTCCGGACTACAAGTCGCTCCAGAGTATAAGTCGCACCCTCTAGTGGCTCTCAATGTGAAAATAACGAAGATGTACATTTTCAGTGGTACAGGAGTAGCAGATACTGGTACACAAGCCTAGAGTGCCCTCTAGCGGCTGTCAGTTTGAAAATAACAAACGTGAAATTATATATTTAATATATAAGTTGCACCTGAGTCAGCCATAAGGATAAAAAAAAGTGCGACTTATAATCCAGAAAATACGGTACTAGCTCTTGTGGTGGTAATGTACGAAATAGAACCTAAACATGTCCCTAATTCCTTTTACTTGTACACTTCTTGTTGAGAAAACATACTTGTTGGTCTTGTCTGTAGTTTAGTCTTACCTAGATCTTTGGTGTCATTCAGACTGAGGCTGAAGGACTTGGTGAGGCTCATGCTGATTGGCTGCTTCAGTGACGGTCCAACTAGAGATGCCAGACCTGAAGGTTGTGAGGTGGACGAGGCGGGGCCAGGGCCTTGTGAGTTCAGCTGAGTTCCTGTTTTCAAATGGCAGTTCTCCGCCTTTAGGTTCTCCACCATTGACTAAGTAGAAAAACCAAACCGTTAGGTATAAATGCAAAACACGCAAAACTTCAAGCAAAATGTATTTCATGTAACATAAAAAAATATTTAACTAGAAACTCACCTGCATGTTGTTCATGGCATCTCTCAGCTGCTCCAGCTGGTGGGCGGAGTTTAAAGCCTCCAGTCGAATGTCAGTCAGTTCACGCTCTTTCACCCACAGTTCTGAGCGCAGGTCTGACACGGAAGTATCCTCGCCGTCGCCCTCTTCTGTTTCTGTACTCTCCATGATCCTGCAGTGGACACTGAGTCAGAAACAGCTGCGCTGCAGGAGGGCGGAGCTAAGGCATTAATCAGTACTCACGCAGAGGAAGAAGCAATGGCGAAGTGGTTCAGGGGCGGAGCTTGAATGTCTTCTCCCTCGCCCCCCTCGTGGAGCATCTTTGGGGAGTTTGGAGCAGAGGAATCTGGGGTAGCGATTTCCTCTATGTCGGAGTAGGTTTTGGATCCTTTTTTGATGCTAAAAGCTTTGTTGAAGGAGCTCCGTAACTACAGAGAGAAACAGGAAGAGAAAAGGCAGGGAGTAGCAGGAGGGGGGAGATGAGGAGGAGACGGTCAGACAGTTGAAACTATGACTCAACACTTAATTGTATTAGTAAATATAAAAGGGAGTAGAAGAAGCTTTTAGGCTTACTAATGTGACTCATGCTGAGGATTAGGGAAAAGTTTGTCATTTTTACAGATTTTCAGTTCTTTTGGGAAGGGAACATATTAATAAAAGTTCAGGCTACCAAATAATTTGGTTATTTAATGGTGAATTTGGTATAAACTTGCAATGATTTGTGTTTCGGCATAATCGTTTCACAATATTCCTTTCAATAATTTCCTGTTTTTTTTAAACATTTTTGAATATTATACTACCAGTCATTTTAAGTTCCACAGGAAGTTAGATCCAGGAAAAGAAAAACATCACATTTGCTGTCCATTATGTGCACCCACTAAACATCTCCCAGTGTGTTTCATGAGCAGAAGAAGACGGCGATAGCAGGTGGGAGGAGCAAATATCCTGGGTGGGGCATAGATAAATGGCGGTGGCTCATTACCATATACAGGTAAAGGTACAAAAACCATTAAGCATGTTACTGACATTTCATTTAGATATTGTAACCATGTTCATTTTCGTCAAACTACCATATGTCTCTGTTTCAGTCAATTTGTACATACATACTTGTACATACTGCGCTGTGAGAAACATTTTCTTCTGGAAAATATATTTACAATTATTTATTTTCTTTTACCTTATTTGAAGCCTCTTTGTTAACTCCATGCTTTCTTTGGAGACAATTATATCTACTATATTTTCCTGACTATAAGTCGCTCGGGAGTCGCACTAGCCAGCTAGAGTGCCCTCTAGTGGCTGTCAGTGTGAAAATAACGAACATGTAAATCTTCAGTGGTACAGGAGTAGAAGATACTGCTATACAAGCCTAGAGTGCCCTCTAGTGGTTGTCGGTGTGAAAATATTGAACATGTGAAATTAAATATTTTAATATATAAGTCGCACCTGAGTATAGGTCGCAAAACCCAGCCAAAGGGTGAAAAAGGGTGCGACTTATAGTCCAGAATATACAATATATCTAATTTTTAGATCTTATATTTTTTCCGAACAGGGCATTAAATTTGAATGAACATTTTAAAAAGCTATGTTTTTATTAAAGGCCCATTCAAGGCAAACCCTAAAATGACAAACACTTTGATTAAGCTTCATGTCATTCCTCAGCAGAAAGGACAAAGGAGCAGTTAAAGTATGTTGTTGCAGATTCAGGGATTTGGGAAATAAATGTTTTTTACACAGTAGATAAAGAAAGAAAGAAGAAGCAGGGAATTTGATCAACTAATGACTGGGCTCAGATATGGAACAGAAACGTGACTCTTCATGTCTGCTGATGACGTCTGCCACTGACTTCACAGGTCAGAGAATCAGCAGAGATGGAGACTGGAAATCAGGGCTGTGGTTCTTCATGCCTTACAGCAAAAACTAAAAGTTAAACTCACCTCAAACACCTAAAAACAGTATGAAACAAAACAACAAACAGGAGGAAAGAGTCTGGTCACACTTCATCCACCCTTGTTGCAAATCTGTTATGTATACAAATCATGTTTCATAGCATGGTTGTATGAGGATGTGAAACAGTGCTGACTAAGTCTCAGGCCTGAGTCTAAAACACTAAAAGATGCTCAGAAGTCTATTTTGTCTCAAGTATGTGTTCACAGCTTGGTCAGGAAGTTCAAATTAGCATGTCTAAGTTGGACACAATGTCCACAGGGGGCAGCAGTAGACCAGTTGCTCATGTGTACATGTCTGTGAGCTAAAAATCAATTATTCCTTCTATGGACTTGGATGTATGTTTAAGGCTTGTTTTCCTCAGCAGGGGGCGCTCCAAGCACCTCCAGCTCTGACTGTGTCAGTACCTCATTTAACCAGTTAATACAGAACAAAACGTTGCGACTTAAAAGTGAGCAGGATGAAACAGCAGGTCTTACCCAGCTTTTCTTTTTCTTCTTCTTGGCATCCTGGTCCTTCAGGCTGCCAATACTGGACATGCTGGTCAAACTGTTGAGACTGGAGATGCTCTCACAAGAGTTCTGACGACGCATTTGGAGATCTGGGAATAAAATTGGAGGACTTGAGGTCAGGTCATTGAAGAAAAGGACAGACTGATGTAGATAGCGCGAATAGGTAAAAGGTCCGAACCTTTGGTGTTTTCCTGGTTGTTCAGAGCACCGTGAATCACAGCCTGAGCTTCTTCATTCCTGACCTTCATGGCGTCGATGGTTTCACGGAGCTCCAGCAGCTCATTGTCCTGGTGAAACATCAGAGACATGGCATCAGTGCTGTTTTTTTAGTGAGTCAGTTGGAGTTGTAGGTTTTATAAATTCAACAACAGGCTTTTGTTTTGAAGTCGTAGGTGTATATAGATATTACCTTCTGCTCGTGGCTCATTGAAAGAGACTGCAGTCGGGTTGTCATCAAGGCCAAACTTTGCTCAAAGGCAGCAACAAGGTTCGCCTGTTGGAGAAAATCACAATGGTTTATATATTCTCTGATTCATTTTGTCATATGTTCACTCTCGGCACGGACTTGTCCTGAACCTGTTGGCTCATAAGTCACTCTGGATCCAGAGGAGGGGGTGAGGGGAGTGGGTGTTAGCAGTAGTGAACGGACAGCTAAGCACATGCGTTCACTTTTTACGTACATTTGTAGACAGCTGGGTGGTCAGAGCGGAAACCTTCTCCTGAGAGGACTCCAGCTCTCGACGCAGTTTACGGATTTGCTGTAGAGCAAAAAATAATAATAATAATTAAGGAGTTCAGTTCAGTTCAGTAGACACCAAATCTGACAGGATGGAATGTCCTACTGTCCTACTGCAGACTAGAACAAAACAGATCGAGTGAAGTGACAATCAGGAAATGGGAATGAGAGGAGAAGAGACGACGAGGACGAAGAAGAAAACACTTACCTCTCCCTGAATCCTCTCCTCAGCCTGGGGAAGTAAGGAGGGAAGCAAGGGAATAAGAAAACAACAAAGATGTTAGGTAAGACGAGAGAGGAAGAGGAGAAGCGAGAGGAGTTGAGAAATACAGTGGCAGAAAAGAGAAAAAAGAAAAAAAGATGAAATGAGAAGCGAGAGGAGTTGAGAAATACAGCGGCAGAAAAGAGAATTTAGAGAAAATGGAAAAAAAAGTGAAAAAGAGAGAAAGGAAAGGAGAAAAATGGGAAGAAAGGGAGTATGAAGGAGAGGAGGAGGAAAGAAAGAAAGAGAAGGAGGGGAAGATGAGGAGAGAAGAAAAAGTCAAAGGTACATGAAAGGAAAGATATAAACACACAAACACACACACACAGAAACTCAAACACACACACAGCAACTCACCGAGGAGTAGGTTGAGGAGGCGTTGGAGGCTAGCGAGAGAACTGAGCCATGGACTAAAAAAAACCAAACCAAAATTAGGTAATTCTCCAGAGATGTCCTTAAAAAACTCATAAATATTCACAGGTGGAAGTGAAATGTGATTATTTTTCCAGGTCACCTTAAAAACTTAAGATTCACAAAAGTAAAATGTATGTTTTAACTAAACAACTTTTTATAAAGGTGTAACAGATGAAGGTCCTCACCTTCGTCCGAGTCCCGGTCCCTGAAGGAACCCGACCGGATCATCCCGATGCTTCGTGGACGTTCTGAAAGTGACAGCGTGCTGCCTAGTGGGGACTCGGCATACGCCTCCACTGACCCCTCATGTGCTGGGATGCTGTTGGAGCGAGTCATCCTCGGAGCGCTGCTCACAGGGCTGGACGCTGCTGTAAAGAGAACCACATGTGAGTCTTTGGTCCGAACCCAGGTTCTCTCTCTGATCCAGGTGGACTCACCTGTCCCGGTCCTGGACGACCGTGGAAGCGAGGTTGGCGACGAGAGCAGGGGCAGAGCCAATGTCTCACTGACACTGAAGACAGTGTGGGAGTGTCTCCTCTCCCCTCGCTCCTTCGACAACTCCTCAGCCTGAGAGCTGCTGATAAAACTGCAGACATATGAAGGGACATTGTCACTCAAGTGTTTTATTACATTTTTGGTCATTGTAAACGAACTATCCAGTGATAGAACTTTCCAGAACTACTGTTACTGAAGAACACATATGAAGGGACATTGTCACTCAAGTTTGAAGTGTTTTATTACATTTTTTGTTCGTTATGTAAACAAACTGTTGTTTTTCAAAACTGCAACTTTAAAATCCAGGACTACTGTTAATGAAGAAATGGATGAAGTGGTGCATGTGAGTGAGTGAGTGTGTGTGTGTCTTCCTACCTTAGTCCTTTCTTTGGAAGTGTGTTTCTGTCAACATCAGAGCTGTGGCGAAGGAAACAGCATTGTTAATTACCCCAAATGCACCATGTTATTTAAACGTCCACAGGAGGCGATAGAGTGACACTGCAGGCTGTAAACTGCTAATAATGACAGTAGTGCCTGTGAGTGGGTCTCACCCACACTATGGACTACAGGAACAACCAGTAATCTTAGCGTACAGATAGACAGCTAATGTAAATCCAGTACTGCTTCTGACATTCTATATATACTAACTTGGAAACTGTGAATAATGCAGCGACTCACGTGTCCGGTAGCGTCAGCGACACTCTCGTCCCAATCACTGGACATCGCTGCGTGTCTTCCTGCCTCTCTTTGGTTCTGGAGTCCACACTGCCGTGGCCCACTTCCCGGTTCTTCTCCCAATGTTCTGGTGCCAGGCTCATCTGCAGTGGCAGTGACTCCATGCTGCGATGCAGCCCAGACAGACGGGGGTACAGCAGTGGAGAAGAACTCCCCCTGTTGGTCTCTAACGAGGAAACTTGCCGAGACCCCAGACCAGACCCAGAGGTGGAGAAACAGGCCGAGGAGGAGACAGTAAGGAGTGGAGCAGGGCTGGGAGTTAGGTGGGAGCCAGAGGAAGAGGAGGAGGAGGAGGAGACTGTGCTGCTCAGGTCCTGGAGCTTTGAGTAAGGAGGGATCTTTGGAGGCAGGGAGGCCTGTACCTCCAGATCCAGACTGTTGGAGTTCAGTTTATCCATCTGAGCCACGGACTGAGGCTTTCCAAGACTGCGAACGCCAGATAACCTAGGATCACATGAAACCAGACAAAAATGGTTACATTATTTATCTGTGCTACTGTGTGAAAATAAAAAAAAAATGCTGTAGAAATTTGTACCATCAACAAATGTTTTTTTTTAAGATGGAATGTTATCACATCATTGTGGTATAAATGAATTTAGCTACTAAACTCCTCTACTCGGTGCTCTACAGATTTTCAGTATCGGCCAGATCTGGACCGCAGGCAAGTCAAGCTCTCCGTCACTCAATCAACGCTGGTGCTTGACATTGCATCTCTAATGATCGTAAAAAAAGACTTAAGACCTTTTGGTTGTGGTTTGGTTCTAGTAGCGAAGAGAAAAATCGCCTGTTGCTTTGTATTCGTTTTATCATTCAGAAAGCGAATCAAAATGTGCAGCTGGATAAACAAACAGGAAACACTTATTTGAGGAAGCCAAAATTTCCCAGTTTGGGCAATCAGTATCAAAACATAACTTTTTAAAAAAAATAAAAGACAGTATTACCTCTGAATATTAGTTGCAGATCTATCAAGGCTTTTACCACCACTAGGGGGCCTTAGCCCCTGTAGCTTCTCTGAGATGCTGTGAGCAGATCCTCCTTTCAGGGACCCTCCCCCACATTCTGAGTCTGACATGACAGCTTTAGCTTTAGCCCTCTCCTTTTCTTTCTCTCTGTCTGTCTGATTGACAGGACCGGGACTCGGAATCCCACGACTTCCTGCTTTACTCAGCCCCGGTCCAGAACTCAGCACAGACACGGGTTCTTTGAGCCTGGAGCCCTGCAGGGCTGCCGTTGTTGAGGAGGGTTTGGTGAGTCCAGAGTTCGTGTCAACGGTGGTGCTAACAGGACGGGCCGAGCTGGGTCGGGTCAGAGTTAGTGTGCTGGTCTTAGCAGGACGAGGGAGAGATCGGTACTGCAGCGATGTCCTAGCGCTTGGAGACAAAAATCCACTCTGATCACAACTGGAAACATCCAAACTGATCTTCCGTCCTCCACTGCCGCCAGCTGCGGGTTTCACAGGAATTCCCGATGTTTTGGGCGTCTTGCCCACTGTTGAAGAGCTGAGTGCACCGGTACCGGTACCGGTACCATTGATGTTGGCTCCATTTTGAGCTGTGTTTGGCTTCTTGAAACCAAAGTTTCCACCTGCTGATGGTCTGACCAGGCCAGACGGAGGTTTACGTTGTTCAACAGCGCTGGTACCGTTCCTGTGGTCTTTGCCAGCATCAGAAGAGGAACGCTGAAGTCCTGAAGACTTCACCGCTAACCGAGATTTATCCATGGGCTTCATGTCAGACTTGATTGAACCTGGGGAAGAAAAAAGGAAAATACATTATTTTTCCGACCTGATAACACTTGACAGAACTTATTTATGAACAAATCAAAACAAAACCAGTTTTATAAACCACAACAGCATTTAGAATAAGAGGCCAGCCAAGAAGGATATGTGAAGGATGATCTAGTCCAGGGGTCACCGACCTTTTTGAAACTCAGAGCTACTTCAAGGACACTTAGTAATACGAAGAACTACTTGTTTGATCCAGACTTCCCCAACAATGTAATAATAATTAACTCTGGGACATACAATAGTAGTAGGTACATTTTTTGACTTGTTGACTAGTTTAAGTTTTATAACATACCCCACAGGCACCTTAGTTAGTCCACAGGGGCTACTAGGTGACCCCAGGCCCCGCGTTAATGACCCCTGATATATACAGATGGCCTGAGTGCTAGAATGATAAAAAAAAAAAATGGCGTCAGCATCTTTCTCCTCCGTGAGGCCAACTCTTACACTAACCTAAGTCTTTCTAGGGGTTTGGTCAATCTCTTACGTCTAGTGTGGGACACGGTGATAAAACTTCAAAAGAAGCCCGTGTCTTATCTCAGCACTTTGAGGTGTTACTGCTGGCAGTTAAATCCAGAACTGATTACTGGATTTCACACACTGATAAAGTAAGGGAACTTATTTCCACGGGCGTTTTAGTAAGTACATGTGTATCTGAGACAAATGCGCTGGAAAAAACGTGTGCGTTGACGTTCGCGGAGCATTTCTGCAGACTCAGAACCTGCAGGAAACTGCTAGAGGAATTCTGCCGCAGACTATGAGGTCCAGGCGCAGTTTCCCAACTCTCCTTTGAATAAATGGTGTTTTAATTGAATGTGGTTGGAAGTAATTAGGAGAAAAATACCCATGAAGCTTAAGCCACCCACAAGTGTGAGTAAATGTCTGCCACGCTCTAAGTTTGACTCCGATGCGTGTTTTTTTTATACAAGGTTTTAATGGAGTAAAAGAGCTACGAGACCAAGACCCACCAGAGAGAAGATCGAGGACATCTGGACTCACTCAAAATTAAGAGATTACAAAAGACACACACACACACACACAGACGTACAGAATATACGGCACAAACTCAAACCCACGCACGTACGACAGTGAGCAGCTGCCAAAGGAATGGCTCACATTAGTTTATTTGTAAATGTGACAACAGGACTTTTATGGATGGGGTTGTAAAAAACAATTTGTCTCGAGATCATCAGGCTGCAGAAACTGCAGAGCAATCTGTTATTTCTGACATAGATAAATACTGGTTTACTGAGCACGACGGTGGGAACCCGATGGTGCTCGCAGACGTTAAAAACCACGTCATGAATCACCCGAGGAGCTGCGAAGACAAAGACACCGCGTTGATTTAACTCCGGCGGAGAAATGATAATTACCGCCTTCTTGAACAAATTAAATCCTCGTAACTGAACTTCTGTTTAGTTTAAGGGAGAAAACGAGGGAACAAATGTAGGATGGATCATTATGATTAACTACAATGAAACTGTTGCAGGTCCTGAGTGGTGTCATGGACATATATATCGATTATGAAGAAGAAAGTGGTGCTATTAGCGTTATGTTGTACATGTATATAAGAAATATAGTGAAGTTTAATTTTTGTATTTTTATTGACAAAACCTAAATATACTGGGGGTCCTCGACGTATGTCAGAATTCCAGTCCTACGGCGCAATGTAACTGATTATTTGCAACAGCCAATAATTTCACTTCATGGATGCAACTTCATGCAGGCCTCCACTGCGACTCTTTGGCGCCCCCCAGGGGAGGTTCGCTTACACTTGGGAGCCATAACGTAGGGCAAAAAGTTCCCAAAAAATACAACACAAACGAAAGGAAGCGAATGTAGCACAATCCAATGTATGGTATAACAACCTGCGAATGTAAACAAAGGCGTCCTCCGCATATAGCGGTGCGTGACTATGTATACATCTGCTCCGCATGCTAACTAGTCTGCACGGGAACTAGTTGGCGAGTTTTAACAGCGTACATTGGAAGGAGGGAACAAGACCTTCTTAATAAAGAGATTTAAAAATGAATTCCTGTGACACATCCAGAGTCCAAAAACCTCAGCCTCGTAGCAAAGACGAATTACAGATAATTAGAGAGAATTCCTCGATGATCTTTTCAGAACAATGCTTTTTAGCCCAGAGCAACTACAAATTTCAGTCTGTTTTGAACACAGAACTTTCACCGCTTGTGTTTTTAACATTCTACACTGTTGTCTCTAAGGATAACACTCCAGCACGCACGCACGCGCAGACGCTTGTGCACACTTTAGGCTTTGTCTCACACAGTGGACCACAGCTGCAGAGACCCCCACCCCCCCTCCCCAACACCAACACTACCCTTTAGAGAGAGGTGCCATGTATCAAACGCCCATCAACACCCACTGACTTCCTGCCAGATCACACACGCACACACACATACACAAAGCAACAGCACTTTATTATTTCCCAGCCAAGCTTTTTGTGTCCAACACACACAGTTTACAGCTGAGAAATAAAGGACTTCACTTGTGCATGTGTTTGTGTGTGTGTGCGTGTAGTTGTGTTTGTGTGTATGTGTGCCAGCCCAGAGCAGTGTGAACCATCACTTGTGACTCTTACACATAAAGCAGACAATAGTTCAGACTGTGCAGCCACTTATTAAGCCTTTCATCCGCGTAGCCTGTTTAGGATTGGTAAACAGGCAATATATACATAAACCTGACAATATATCAATGAAATTAAGGATAAAATAATAAGCAATATTACAGTAATTTCAGACTTATTGAGCGCACCTGAATATAAGTCGCACCCACTAAGTTTAAAAAGAAAAAAAATAATTGTACATACATAGGTGTCCACGTTGTTCAGTAAAATGTGATATTTACACTGAAAGATTTTTTTCACTTTTAATTATTATTTTATTTTTTCCTGTGTCTGTAATAACAGCTGATTACACGTTAACGCTTTCCTGCTTCGGAGCCCCGACTGCACAGGATAGACTTAGTGATCTGGTATAGGGCTGAAGCTAACATTAGCTCCAGGGCTAACTCCCTTCACTTTGTGACTTTGTGAAAGAAGTTAGGGCCGGAGCTAATGTTAGCTCATAATAGAACAATTCTTACAGTAAGTCTGGCTCCTGTCTTAAAATACTTCCAACCACTAGTGACATTGTTGACCTACTTAAATAAAGTAAAATAAAGTACAATGAGATACTAAAGTGGAGTAAGAAATCACACAAGCTGATTGGTGGATGACTAGTGAAAAATACCTCATGGAGTATGGGGTCAGCATGTTTTTGAGTACAAGTTAGATCGGTTCTAAAAGAGACATCCTCATAAAAAGATAAAACTAAAAGAAGAAAAATATTTTAGCAGATTGTCATCTCCATAGAGATCACGTCTAAATTAAATCATTTTCCAGAAAAGTCGGAACACTTTACATCAATCGTGTTTTACCCCAGCTATTCGTCCCCTGTCAAAATGAACCTACCTGCCACTTTCAGACCACTCTGTGAGGTGTGAGTGATGGGAGACGTGACGCCCACAGGCTGGTTTCGTCCTTTCTTCAGGACGTTTCCTTGACCTAGGGTTTGCGGTTTCTTCAACTCTCCCCTTCCTACTCCATCAAGCCCGTCCCCCTGAGGCCTGGTCTTCTTCCACCTGTTGGCTGATTCTGACTTGGGACTTCCTGTGTCATAGATGTTGCTGCCCTGGTTCTTGCAGTTGGGTTTTGAGTCCTCAGTGTCCCAGCAGAGGCCGTTCTCCACCAGAGATCTTTTCTCTGCGTCTGTGCGCATCTGGACAGAGAAAAGACCACACAGTGAAGTGTTTCATCAAAATACAACAGTATATTTGAGTTGGTGGTTGTCAAACTACAATTCCTGTTAAAAATGTCTTGTTAATAATATAAATTCTTCCCCCACTGGGGGGCGACGAGTACACAATGAATTAAATTGAGGTGGTTTTTGTGTATGTGTGTGTGTGTGTGTATGCGTTCCAGGACATTACACCCAACAGTTTCCTTAAAAAAAAAAAAACCTCATATAGTGAATTCCTTTTCTTATTAAAGACAGCCGACCCCATGTAAAGGTTCACAACACACCACTGAGTGTGTGTGTGTGTGTGTGTTGATAAAACATTATCATTTCCTTACACACAAATTCACCAAGCACTAAAACCAAGGTTGGTATGAGATTCACATCAGGGTAGCTCATACAAGAGCAACAAATACCAACAGTTGTAGAGTATATATAAATATATATACATATATACACATATTTATAAATATATATTTAAATATATATATAAAAATAAATATATATATAAATATATATATATATATTATAGTTTCCAGACTATAAATCACACCTTTCTTTTCATCCTTTGTCTGGGTTTGCGACCTCAGGTGCGTCTTATATATTAAAATTAATTTAAAAAATAATTTAATTAAAATATAATATAATTATATTTTTGTTATATAGTTTGTTATTTTCACACTTCTTTAGGCTTTTTTTGGTTGGTGCGACTTATAGTCTGGATAAAACGGTATATACTTTTGTTATAAACTGGGGCTCCTTAATGTCCCGATGGATGGAATACCATCCACAGGCATCTGTATAGGGTAGTGAATGTATGTGATGAGTGACTTCATGTAAATGTTATTATGTCGCAGATGTCTGGACCTAAACTATCATTTGATCCAGATCTTTGTGCAAAGACTGTTGTAAACATTATTTATTCTTATTTATTCTACAACTCTACTGTGGATATGATTGTGTAAGAAAGGGTAATACATTCTAGGGAGGGTTGATAACAGTGTCTGGGAGGTTCGTAAAGGGTAAATATATACGTCTTGGAACGGAACTCCCGTGATAGGAGAGGGACCACTGTATATAAATACAAAAATGCTGATAATGTGCAGTCAAGGCTGTTTTTTGGAGGGGGGTGGGATCATGGTTGTGACAGACGTGGGGGCCATTGACCCAATTCTTCCAGCTCACTGGGTGTCTACAGATGGTCCTGACAGTGTGTGAGTGTGCACGTGTATGTGTGTGCACTTCCAACACACTTCCAGTATGGTAACTATGGTTGCCATAGTTACGATGTTTTCTTCTCCAGTTTTTTGGTTTTTTTTTTTTTAAAGCATTGTGGCATGTAATAAAAAAAGAATCAATAAAGTAAATTACAATAATCTGATAAATAATGTTTAACATAAATATATTTCTATCTTGGCTATTACTTCACAATACAGATTATACCTTAATAAAGTGATACTGTACTATTACTACGTAAAAAAGTGCTCCTGTATTATGTAGCCTACTATTGGGGGTTTATTTTGTAAAGCATTGTGCCATGTAATAATGAAATAGTACTCAAGAAGAATCAATAAAGTTAATTAAATAATCTGATAAATAATGTTTAACGTAAATATATTTCTATCTTGGCTCTCATCGCTGTTACTTCACAATACAGATTATACCTTAACAAAGTGATACTGTACTATTACAATCTGTAACGATGTAAAAAAAGGGCTCCTGCGTTATGTAGCCTACTCCAAGGGGTACACCGGGATACTGCAGTTCCTGTTGAATCTGAACTGTGTGCATTGCTTTAGCACTGGTGCAATATTTGGGCTAATCATATCGATACTGTTCGGAGAATAATGACTTTGAGAAAAATTCTGGAAATTTCTCTGATATTTGTGATGCTTTGGTGCTGTTGGTTATCCTTTTCTTAGCTTGGCGGAGTTTCCGCCAGTTGCTTCATTTTGTTGCAACTTTATTTTTAGGTTTTTAAGGAACTCGACTTGAAGTTTGAAACACTGCCATACAGCTGACTCCTTGCCACACTACAGGCATGTGCGATGTAGCAAGCCTTGCCACACTACAGGCATGTGCGATGCATCTCAGCATCTCAAACATAGAATTTGGATGTAGATCGGTTTCAAAGATGTCTATTGGGGCTATTCATTTATCAGATATCAGATGTTAATATGGGATCGGTCGATGACTCTTTCTACGGATTAGTTTGACGTTGTGTAATGAGATTGGTGCAGCAGACTCACCAGTATGTTGGAGCTCCTGCGGGAGCTGACCGGGGTGCTGGGCAAAGAGTTAAGGGCAGTGCTGCTGTTAAAGTCTTCACAGCTCAGGTTGTCTGAACCATCGCTCAGTCCGCTGCTTATGGAGCTGCTCTCGTCCCAGCTATAAAAAAGAAAACACACACACACACATGCAATCTTTCAAACCGTGGAAACACACTGGAAAATGTTTAAACAGTCTGAGGTCAGACAGACAGATGGAAAGAAACCACACCAACATAAACAGTAGAAGCTCAGTTCAATGAGAATACACTCGAAAAAAAAAAAAAAAAAAAAAAGAGTCCGCCGTAGTTATTGACGTACGCGGCAGATGTGGAAATTAGAGGGTTTCACCAGGTTCGTTTGATGAACCTTTATTGGTTTCCGTAATGTCTCATTATTTCAGTGTTCCTACTTCCGACTTTACAGGACAACAGAGTTCCTCTTTTCTCCACACGCCATGAAAATCATCTGACTTCTATTTTTTGCTTTTGCCAAATCTCATTTTCTGTTCCAGTCCTAGGACAGAAGATTCTCTCTGCTTCTCACTGGTCTCTGCACATCATCTCACCGCCGACACACACGCAGGTACACACACACACAAACGCATACCAGTGTTCAAGAATAGCTCCAAAGACCATATAGAAGCTGCAGTCACCCACATGAGGGAGTGTAGGAGTGATGTCTGAGTCACAGTGAAGAATCCCTACTTGACTTGAGGTGGGAAGACTGGTTCTAAAAATGGACTTATGTAGTTACTGGTTGGTTCAGGCATAATATGCGGGAAGTTCTTGTAAGGGTATGTAGAAGTAAACTAAAGCTGAATCATTTTGAATTAGCCCCTAGTGGCGGATGTCAGTTACTGTGCGCCTTTTTGAAAATGGTCATTCTGGCTGGAAATGGTACTGCACCAGTTACATTTTTTTTACAGTTTGACCATTTTTTTCAACTGTGGCTGGAAATGGTACTGCACCAGTTACCATTTTTTTCAACTACGATCGTGTGAAATTACATTTTTTTGCAAAATTATAATTTTAATGTAATATTTTTTGATGCCGTAAATTAAGGTTATAAACTGTACTTTATCATTTCATGAGTTTAATTGATGACATCTAGCACTTTCTTTAAAGCAACTGACATTAAGTTGTTGTGAATCATATTTTTTAATCAAAAAGTTTAAACGTCATAAACAGGTGAAAGTGTATTTTATTCAGGACACACGTCATCGTCCTTTTTTAAGATAAGAGATTTCCCGGGAGAGAGGTGATTAACGGACTTTTTTTTGTGTGCTTTTGTCAGAAACTGAGCGGTATCAAATCAAACTGGGTGAGTCATATAAAAATAACAACTGGAATGAATCTGTCGTCTCTACCTTCTGACTGTGTGCGTGCGTGCGGGCTGGTCCTACATTAAACAGGTCACGTACAGGAAGTTCAGGGTGTTGAGGATTTTTTTTCTCCCCTCTGATCAGACTCAATGTCACTGACTCTGACTGATGTCATTGGTTATTGTAAAGAAGACGGAGTGGGCGGGGCTTCACCAATCAGGCCATGTATATATGCAATGGCGATGTTTTGGTGTCATTTTGTTTTCAGTTGAGTGAGTGTCTGGGTCAAACTGTGGCCTCGAGGAAAAACCCCTCCTGTCTGTCTGAAGAAATCATGAGATAGATGTGCAGTAAAATGTCAGATATATGAGTATTTAGGGGAGAATAAAGTCTGAGCAGCAGAGGTTTGTGGACATATTCTTATCAGAAAGACAACATTTTTCTGTCTTATCCTCCACTGTCGTTCTTATACTCCATCTCTCTTTTTCTAAATTGTCTTTGTAATTCTTTTTAAATGTCCAATCCCAAGCTGCTCTCTAGCTTGTGACAGGACAACTCATTGTCTTTCCCCCTCTCCACATCCCGCTGGCTCTTGTCTCCACTATTCTCAAATAACCCGTCTTCACTTGTCCTCTATTTTCTATACCGTCCAAGAATGTCCTCACCCGTTTTCTATCTTCTCCTTACATGTCCTTTCATGCCGTCCTCTTGGAATAATACTGTAGAGCCATAACAGTGATGTGCAGTCCCATGTCCGTAGATGTTTTTTCTTTTCATTGTAAAAATAGACGGAAAACTTTTTTTCATTTTTTTTTTTCATTTCTACGTGGATGTGAGAGGACAGACACTTTCCGTTCCTAAAACGTTCACAGTGTAACGTGGCAAAGGACAGAATGGTTAAATCAGAAGGTTCTGGTGGCAGTGATTGGATTTTCAGACAGATGGAAAATGGAATGACGCCGGGGAGACGGTGAGTTCACAGAGAGGAGAGGGACAGACACTGAAGACACATCTGGTTCTCCGAGTACGGAGACTGTCAGAGACAGGGGAAGTGTTTGACAGAGGTCCTCAGCGGCAGTCATTTAAGGACACACCTAAAAGACGAGCGCCGACATCATCTTCAGGGATCGTCGGAAACTATGAAGGGACAGTTAGGTTAGAGACGGAGTGTACAGAGAAGAAGAGAGTGTCCCCAGTCTTGTGAGGACAGTAAAGAAAAAGAATGTTTTACAACAAGCCCTTGCAGCTACAGACTGAAGCTCAGGCCCCATTCCATTTCTCTTTTTTTTTCTCCTCAGCGTCCCGGACTTCCTTACACAGGAAATTAGATACAATGATTCTGTTTACAAAAACCGAGACCCGATCAAATAAAAAGACAGAGAGACGGCTGTGTGGACAGATGGTCCACACTGTGAGTCCTGGACTGATGGAGATAAAACACACACACACACGCGTGTTCACACGTGCATCACTTTCACAGCTAAAAAAAAAAAGAATCCTTAAGAAATTCATCCATTAAACTATGATCACAGATCTAGTTTTTTTTTAAATCAAAATCACAGTTTGACCGCAGATCGTCGGTCAAACTGTGATTTTTATTTTTGTCTTTTCAGGTCACCATCATTGAACTCTACTGCCAAGCATATAAAAAAATCTTCTCTGCAGACGGTTTTGTTAAAAGTCTTTCTAACTGCGACACCAATGACAGGAACAGACAAAATAAAAAAAAAAAACACTTTGGTGGTTTTCCTGCTGCTGCCATTGTCACGTCTCATGTTTTTGTGGTTGCAGATGGTTTAGTGTCACATATTGTGTATGGTTCATGTGCTCAGCAGGGGAGGAAGAAAAATATCTCTTTTTTTCTGAAGTCTCTTCAATGATTTAGAAAAATACATAATCGATCAACTAAAAATATTTTTTCTAGAATGTTTATAGAAAATGTATACATTTTTCTCAGGTATTAGATCAGATGAGATATAGGACGTTCAACCCTACGATTTTGACCAATATCGGACCAATACCGATCCTCAGTATCGGATGAAGCCGTCCCTACTAGAAACTGTCAGTGTTTTTTAGCTGCAATTTACTGGAAGATTTATGACTATGCCATATAGAAACAAAACACGCAGAAGTGTCATGTCATCAACCGTGTGTCAGGCGCAGTTCTATTAGATGATGACAGCAAATACAAAAAATAATAAGCTCATTTAAAAGTGGATTTAAAATACACTTGGTTTTTTTTACGCATTAATATAATCAATTCATATCTGGAATCGGAACAGCAAGGTGATCTGAGATACCGCACTGACAACTAGTGGACACCTGCGGTACAATGTGTTTCTAACTGAGACACTGGTGCTGGTTTTTAGCCACCAAATAGTTACTGCTTCTGAAGTAGAAACACTAGAAAACAATGTCAGGGATAATAACGATAATGGGGGGAAAAAAAAAAAGTACACAAACTGCACAGTAGTGAAGACCGCTGTGGTTAACTCCTTCATCAGCTGACCATTTGTGTGACCGGTCAGACAGAGTGCACGGGTGACAAGAGGACTTAATTCAAAACATGCCTGTTTAATAAAGTGCTGAGTGAACACTTTATATGCACACACACACACAGACACACACAGAGAGAGACGAAAACAAACAACACACACTCACAACTGTTTAGAGATTAGAGAGGATTAGAGAACAGGCTGGATTTAATGAGCTCATAATTACAGTTAATTCCATCTGTCCCCTGGATTAAAGCAGCGTGTGTGTGTGTGTTTGTGTCTTCGATGAACTCACATCCATACATGGCCAGACAGGAGAATCCTCCAGTACTATGGCCTTGACAGACCCTCCTGACGCACAACACACACATGCGTGCGCGCACACACATTTTGAACAGGAAACTCATCTTCGTAAACTTCTTGGTCTACCACAAGACAAAATCAGAGGAGAAAACAATTTCAAACCGTCACTAATGTAGACTGAAGTCGCAGTCGAGTGTTTTTAGTTAGCTGCTTTCTTTGCCCTGAGATGTGAACTTGTAATCCATGAAGAAGAAACTGAAGGATGACGACTCAGGAGAGCGATGAGCAGCAAATATACACGGGGAAAATGTTAAATTAAAAAAAAAAAAAAAAAAACATAAAGTCTGAGCAGCTCGTGTGCTAGTTTGGTTTTCGTGACCTTCAAACTGTCTCGCTGTTCTCTACATGGAGAGGAATTTAGAAGAAGGACAGAACTCCTGAGACGAGGTGGAGCGGGTCTTAAATCACTACCTAAACTGGTTCAGTGTGGGGTTTGGGGTCTGGGGGTCTTGAGGGATTTGGAGTGAGGTTGAGGGTGTGGAGCTCCTCAGCACAGAACCACAGTGAGATCTCAGAGGGGGAACCCCGTTCTGCTGAGGCCCAGGACGGGGGGCTGCTGGATCTTGGATTTTTGGGGTAGAATTTCTTCCGGCCTCCTTCCAGCCACACAGCTGACTTTAACGGCTGTGAGAATTTAACTGCGTGCAGGGGAGGAGATGTTTTGGTTTGAAAAGAGGAGAAGGAAGTAGCCAGGGATCCAGTGAGAGAAAAAAAGGGAAAACAGAGAAAAAGAAAGAGAGGGAGGTGCTGGTGTTGAATGAAACAACTTTTCTTCCAGGTTGTTAACTTAACACAGCTGTGACAGAGAGAGTTGAGGTGTTTGAACTCAATCCTTCAGCAGTTCCAGAAACTCCAACTACAGAGGCCTGACACCAGATCGAACATGTCGTCAGAATCAATTTGAATAAGCCGTCACCGATGTAAAAATGTTTGAAGACG